GTCATGTGGTCCACGACTATGCGACTCGAATGAAATGTGCCAGCGCTAGGTAATTCATATCCACCGAGTTGAAGTTTGTTCGAGAAACAATGGATCGACTTACCTACTGATATACGCCTCACTGATGAAGCCTTCAAGCACATGAATGTGACTCTAAAGAAGGGATCTGCATCCATGGATCCTGACTGGCCTAACATAAGCATGCAAATTATGATGCGTCTTATTTTGCCGTCGCCGCCAAGTCTTACCTAGGTACGACTTGCACGTCGGAGCGTTTGGTTGCCTCCGGTATTACAGGGTTTCTCGCAACATCCTGGCGCTATGCAGCTAGTCTCGAAACCTCCGACGTATGTGCGGTGGGGTGACTTCCTGATCATTGCCTGACGCTGAGCCCAAGCCACCTCTCTACGTCCACCTATGTGTCAGATCTGTTCTGAGTCTGTCCTGCGCCTCATGTGAAGGCTACCTCCGGTAGGACGATCGGAGACCTCAGGTGTGCATTGGTATATGGACGCTCAAGTGGTTTATATAAAGGCAGCTCCGATGGCCATCTTTATCACTCAGCAATTTGAAGCTCTCCCTGTATTTGCATCAACAATATTAAGCTTAGCTTGTAACATTCACTCACGTTCGTCTTCTCTCCACTTTGCCTTGGTTTAGCTCATCACGTCATTCTAGCATGGCTCACCTACTACAAGCGTTCAATAACCAAGTCAATATGACTGTTGCATTGAACTGGAACAAAGACACAGTGAATTTGACATTTGCGTACTTTGAGAGATATCTCACAGAAAATTTTCAGATCATCCAGCAGTTTGACGACTTCTGCACCAATCCCGTTCTTTATGGTGTGATACATGATGCTAATACTCTACGCTCTCTCAAGGATGTCGTTGACCGAATCAAAGAATTTTGGTGAGTGAAAACCAGTCTAGCTGTATATAGACATGCTCACTCCAGTCATTGCAGTAAAGATGGTTCCTGTTATTTCTACAGAGGGGACAGACGTCTCTTGCAAGTCTCGTATCAAGGTTATCCATTCAAACTCGACTCGCTATTGGATTCGTCTTCTCTGTCACGGGAACTACACCCCCCTTAGCGACGGCGACGAACTATTACTATCCCCTCGCCGCACTCTATGCCAGATTCTGCTTCGCGCTATCCGATGCGCGGATGCTGCCCGATAGTGTGGAGCTCTGTTGGTTTACACAAGGACAAGGGCCCGCAGCGGTTGGACGAGTCTGCCTCGGCGCCACCCTGGACAATCCGCAGCTGGAAAGAAAGGAGTGGGCTAGGTTACAGAGGGCCAAAGCGCTTCTAGACCAAAAGTTAATTCCCAACGTGGACCTCTGTCTTGTGCGTGGCGGCGGGGGACAGAAAGTCGGGCACTGCTGCGAGACACTTCCGTTCCTTTTTATGTACTCGTGAGTCAGATTGTTCTGTTTCGGTTTGTCCTAATAATCGACTAACATGTCTGCCTAGAATCCGCAACACGCTGAGCTTACCCGATGTGTGGGGGATTTCCCTCAAGTCGCAGCTGCTGGATGTGCAGAATGCGAACCCAGCAAGTTTGGTGATGCCTGCGGGAGCCGGACGTGCTGCCCGTATGCGGGACAGATGTGCGAACTGCAACCAGATTATTGGGGCGATGAGAATGAATTCCGACAACTTTAGGATGCGGAACATCGTGTAGATGAGAATGCTTTTCGTGTGGTCTTCGTAGTACCTTTAGGCCTATTAGGTATTTACGTCAACGCAGTATAAGCTCATATGCACATCACTGAGCAGTCATCGCAATCGTACATGCATGATAATTGGTGCTGCGAGCGGTAATCGTGAGGGTGAGGGGACATGTTTTGATTTGCTTATTTATGTTACTCTAATCTGCGAAGGTAGGTGGCCGTGATCCTCATAGACATAACTTGGACCGTCCTTCTACAATTGGCTGCTCCGCTGATATGCTTGGAAACCGCGAGCCACTGACGCACAGACTGACTAGAACATCAGAACATGCGGAAAATGTTGTATATGATCGTGAGCATCACCAATTCCTTCAGACCGCTTCTATTCGCGCTCGCCTTCTGAAACTCTAGCATCGTCCATGGCGCGCCGTGTCTGCCTTTTCGGGCGTTTCAACCCGGTTTGCTCGCACTTCATCGCCGACATTCTATTCTACGACGCCTACACGATGGAGCGATCACTATTTATATACTGCTATGCATTTCGCGCAGAGGCAGGATGGATTGAACCATGATGTTAACGAGTCCAAGCTGTGGGGTAACGGAATGGAGCATGTACCGGGTCGAACTGAGACGCTGTAGATCAAGGACTCAAAGCTTCATCCTTTTCGTGAAACGGAAGATCAGCGGAACGAATGCGTGCACGTAGCCTGGCAAGGACTCCTTCCCTTCGAGCGGGTTGTTGATCTGATGGACGGGAAAACCAATCGTCTATATCATCGAGGGTGCCTATGCTCGCATTTTTAGTGAACAAGTCGCGTAGCATGTGCGAATAGGAAACCGCATACCCTTCGGGAAGCAGACAAGCTCTCGCATCTTGCGCACTTCCTTCTGCATAGTGCTTTCCCAAGACTTGTACAGTTCACAGCTGCAGGCTAATTCAATCAAGAATGCTAGCATGCTGGCTGTGACTACTCCAGACTCTTCCTCAGCATGCTTTGTACACTCAACCATGAAGTTCGAGAGGTATACTGTCTCTGATGCTGTCAATTTCCTAGTGCTCCATCTTTGTGGTGCTAAGATGGAAGCCTTCAAGAAATTGGAGGTAGTCATCACGAGTGACTGTAGTTCGTCATGTATAGGTTGCGAACCACACCATTTGCGAACCCTGGCAAGGTTTAGGCACCAGCGGGAGAACAAGAATAACTCGTCCATGTCGATATCTCCTTTACCTAGATGTAAAGCTGCTGATAGGAAAAATGCTAGGTCTGCAGGGCACGCGGCACGGTAAATGAATGGAGTTGTGAATACTATGAAGTCCTCTTACCCTCCAGATCGAGCTCGTTCTCGAAATCGTAACTAAGCTTGACTGTACACTTCCATAAAACAGGCTTAGGTCCACTTCCACTGTTCACTGTGATGTCCTGCCACATCTTTCGGAGGCGGAGACGGGAAGTGGACCAATCGTTCATCGATTGCATCAGTCCCCGTATATTATTTTGGATCCGCCACTGATCTTCCATACCACGGCGACTGTTGTCGGATATCATGGGGAGCACGTCGATGAGACTGTCCAGCGTTGCAATAATGTAGTACTTTTCTTGTTCATTGGCCCGTGTCGCATAGTATTGGCCCCATACCCGACCTATAGGATCTTTCAGCCGCCCACGCATTGATATGGTAGATAAGGAATGGAGAACGGTCTTATAGTTAGTGGTATCAAGACAAAGGAGGGATACTGGGACAATGAATGCGCTATCCGAGACCGTTGTGTATGCCTCTGCCAGCATCTCGCCCAGGAATGGTGCTGAAGAGTTCGCATTCCACCTGATTGAATCCAAAGAGTCCAATTCGCATGCTCTCCAGTCTTCTGAGTGCCATAGTTGCTGAAGAGCGATCTCCCACTGTCTGAGAATGTCCGCCCACCGCCACACGGTACCATCTAGAACTGGTACTGAAAAATATCAGGAACGGTAGCAATCACTGAACATATCAGCTCACGGGCTTGAAGGACAATGTTCCGTAGCTCAATGGAAGATCTTAGCCGCCTAAGGGATGTCTTCCATTGCCGGATGGACAACTTCCACGTCCGGAAGGCAGCCTTCCGCTGCTCAAGAGATACTTTCCACCATCTAGCACTCAGAACAAGAGTTAATCGTGCTGAAAAAATTATAAGAAAATTTGAAGGGTAGCCATGTCGAATCACGGCTCACAGTAATGATAGAGTAACTTCAGGACAACCGAACAAACCAATCGCTGAGGGCCGCACAGCAGCTTAAGCGACCACCATGCTTGTGGAGACTTGTAGGCGCAATCAGATACGATAGCGGGAATAATTGCAGTACCGATAGTGACCAATAAAAACAGGGAAACTAGGCCACACGCTATCGCAGATACACTGGTGCTCATAGGCCCCAAAAATACAACCAAGCCAATGAGGAATAGAGCCATAGAGGCCTGCAGAAGCACCGGAAGGAGATTGATGATGAGAGGAACCTTCCATCGGTCAAGACTCTGGTGGCGCAAGTACCAAATCTCAACGCTCTCCCGAGACATGGTCAGCGGCCGCGTTCGGTGATGATTAAGCCATTGATTGACAGATATGGCCAGGGATGCGGCGCCGAGACTGAACACAAGTGCAGCGAACCATAGACCATTGATAGCAACAATTTGAGATGAGACTTTCGTCGCTGAGGAGGAGCTAATTAAAGAGGACACAGATTCGAGGGGGCTATCATGACCAGAACCTGTGAGGAGGTTCAGCTGCATAGCCATCATCGCAAGAAGTTGCGTGGTCGTGTCGGAGGTCGGTGGTTGCAGAGTCGGATAGTATTCAATCACAAAGGCGGTCAGAATAGCCGAAAATAGACCGGCCTACTCACGATGTCACAAAAAGTAGCATATGTGAGTCCTGGTACATGCAGATGAGCCCATAACATCAGCACACTCACGAAGATGAGCATGATATTTAATTCATCCTTCCACCTGTCAATCATCTCTCTCTGGTGTTCCCACACTTGCTTGGCACATTCTGACCATACTTCCTGCGCTCCTTCCTTGAGAAAGGTTTTGGGGCCTTGCGCCAACTGTACCGGAGGCCCCCTTTCATTCACATGCTGTAATGTAAATGGTTGGCGAAGCACAGGCGACTCCTCAGAAAACTCGCCAAATTCTCACCTCTGCATTAAATTCACGCTTTGAGTCGCTATGAACTTCGGTAACAGCAACCTGCAATATGTCAATGACATCAGTTTAGACACAAAGGATTTAGATGATTGTCGATACATCTTCATTTGAATCTTTCTGGTTCCAGGATTGGTGCCTATCCTCTACTTGTATGTCGCGCACGGACAGATACTCTTCCGATATCTGCACAAGCACGTATAAGATCATTCGAGGTTTCAGAACGTATGTCACTTACTACAAGTGTGTTGCCGTTTTTCGCCATTCCGTCTTCAGTCCTAGGTGCTGTACGTATCTCGATGCAAGTAGCATGGGAGGATACAGCATCAGAACAAACCGAACGAATCCTTGAGCTCACTTGACCATCTTTTGAATGACCTAACATGGCAAGTTCAACAGAGTTGTTCGTTGGGTGGATCTGTGCCTCTAGATCGGGGTCAGAGCTTGCTTGACGCAACAAAGACGACGGAAGGGCCAGCTCTTGATCAAGGGGAGGCATAGTGACAGTTCTCAAGGAGGGGGGAAGAGAGGTTAGGCACAGGAGAGAAAGAGTACTCACTACCAGAGATGGGTTCTGGCGTTCGAGGGAAAGTGTGCTAGCCTGCCTCGGGCAACGCCGGGAACGATACAAATCTGCTTTGACGGTCAGATGCTACTCGGCCCACCTGGGGTATGGCGCGGATCACCTTCGGATGAGGTTGACCAGGCGCATTGAAGATTGGTTGAGCATAACTCTGCAACTGGTAAACTCACTCCAAATTCTGAGCTCTCCAATTCTAGAGATAATTTTGGGTCGACGATCAAGAATTCAAGCATTTGAGCCCATCTCAGTGCTCTCTTGCGCCTAAAGATGTGTCAGTTCCGAGTTGCGCAAAGACTTTAAGCACTCGCCTTGCCATGCGCCGCAGACACTGATCGATGTTGAGCTCAGCTGTGTTCACTGTCATTTATCAAGCACTCGGAGCCACTCATGAAAAAACTCGGCGAAGTCCGAGGCAGTTGTCTTTGGAATTGGCTCTGCTCCTCAGTCGTTCTGTCTGCACGCTGCGTTCAAACTTCTTCATCATTTCACCGTCTGGATCTGTTCATATTGTTCATTTGGTTCCTCATTAGACACCCCGTCGCATCCAGTCGAAAGCATCATGTTGAACGTGGACCATTCGCATCGAGATCCAGCGCAATCAATATCAAGTACGCCGTTCGCACATTGTAGCGTCTCGACGAGTCCGGAGCTCGTGTTCGCAGGTTCTTTTTAAGTTAGATTTTGACGTGACGATTCAATTCTGGTACCCGGAGACTACGGTCCCATCGGCCTCTGGCTGCATACACAGCGCAGAACAATTCAACCACACAGAACGAAGAGTGTGCTTCATGCACGACACATCGGCGTCTTGGGCAGAGGTTGCAAATGTACGGATTAACCGTACGATTTTCGCGAGAACCACCCGGGAGAGGGGAGCGTGGGAAGCAGATACAGGAGAGAAGGCGTCCGTGTGGAATGTGCCATGCATGGATGGTGAGTTTGCCTGGACAGTCTATCATTACGCAAATCTCATCCTACGCACATCCAACAAGGCGGCAGAAGCAACAGAGCCGTTTCTCCAGGATGCCTGGCTGAATGCGGTCATTTTATTTTCCTCTTAGCTTTTGTCAGTTTATTCGCGTCTTCCGGGTGTCCATTGTCACTGTAACTTATGCTATAGTTGTCAGCATTGTAGGTTCTTGTATAGATCTGAGAAGTGCTAATGCATGGTCAGGATATACTCAGATTGGCTGGTGAGTGCTGTTCTTAGATGATCGCTCTAGGTGTATTCTGAGGATAACTTACATGCTATACCTGACTTGGTTATATTATGGGCCTGCCATGATTCTAAGTCGTAATCTAGTGTGACTGGTATGCGGTTTCAGATATGAAATCATTGTCTGTGGCACAAGCAAACATCTATGTCGCTCTGTCTCATAAGGTCTGCCTTCGCATTCGCGCCAGCTTGGCTTACACATGTCAAACACGTTTTGTGGTTGAGTGGAAAACCTTTGAACAGACCAGAGGGATCCAAGTGCTACATCTTGAGGGTAAAGGCTCACTTGTGCTCATGAAGTACGAAGAGAATAGCGCAGCGAACTGGAACTCACTAGACTGAAGTCGATAGCATGGAACCGCACGATTGGCGGTCAAAGTCTGGGTGTGGGTAATACGAGTGAGCGGATATGCACAACTCAGCTATCGCATGATAGACGTGTGAACTGATCTGTCCCAGTCTTTTTAGTTGAGGGTCCAGACACCTTTCGAACAAGAATTTCATATATCCATCGTCTTCCCCAGATGTCACGTTTCAATATTTTCCTGATACTGCTACTCACAGACTGCGCGACCTCTTTTTGGTCAGTGGAGAACATGACCGCTTAGTTTGATGCAGTGACGTAACAGACGCTATCTTGACACCCCATCGCAGTGAGTCGTTCCTCACGATGGGCCATTGACCATTTATGGATCTTACGGCTGCCTTCATGTTCTTGGAAAGATATGTTGCCATGACGTTTGACTGATCAAATTTGACAGAATGTTAAAGTGAATTTGGGAACAGAGATTGCGGAGTGGATGCGCTGGTGATATGAACAACTCTTGAAGCTAGTGGCACTCATGCGAATGGATCCGTCTTGACACGTACTTTGTTTTCTTAGGCTCAGCCTGACCGGACGGGTTGCGAAGGTGCTACTCCCTGAGAAAATGCGAGAGGTATAATTTGGCTGTTACCAATTTAAAAGCTAGCTTCATCAGCTCATCGCCTCTACGCCCCTCATGTTAGAAACTACAGGAAAGATTGACTTCACCTACAACGGGGAGATATTTCAGACCTGGTACAAGGTCGTCGGTGGCCTCAAGTCAGGCGGGCGCCCTCTCATTGTCCTCCATGGCGGCCCCGGTGTGTCCCACCACTATATGCTTCCTCACGATGCCCTTGCTGCATCCCACAATATCCCTGTTATCTTCTATGACCAGATCGGCAACGGTGAATCTTCTCATCTCCCCGGAAAACCCAAGGAGTTCTGGACAATTGACCTCTTCATTGACGAGCTCGAGAATGTGTTTGTGTACCTTGGAATACGGGACGACTTTGACATGCTCGGTCATTCGTGGGGCGGCATGATGGCCACCCATTACGTCGCTCACAGACAGCTGGTCGGGCTGAGGCGCCTCGTGCTCGGCGGCAGTGCACCATCGATGCAGCTTTGGCAAATGTCCATGTCGAAGCTGGTAGCAGAGATGCCGGAGGAGTTTAGGGAGACTGTCAAGAAGCACGAGGAAAACGGCACTACGGACAGCCCAGAATTTCAGCTGGCCAGGCTGGCATTCTACAAGAAGCATCTTTTCTTGCTCAACGACTGGCCTGAGGTTTTGGCCAAGGCTTACACCTCCCTGAGCCAGAACCCAACGGTGTATCATGCGATGTGAATCATTTGAGTTGGCATATTTTCGTCAGGTGTGTGACGATCGTTGAATCCAGGATGGGGCCTTCAGAGTTCACAATTACGGGAACGCTGAAGACGTGGTCTGTCGTGGATAGGTTACACCTTATGTCCGTTCCAACACTTTTGATCAACAGCGCACAAGATGAGGCACAGGACGTGTGTGTGTCTCCCTTGTTCATGAAGATCCCGCACGTGAAGTGGGTGCAGCTATCTCGCAGTTCCCATATGCACTTTATGGAAGAGCCGGAGCGGTATTTCTCTATCTTGGGGGAAATTCTCACCAACTAGTACAGTGCAGAGATAGCTGCGCATTTCTGGACATACGTTTTACCAAGTGTAATATATTGAACTTGTGATGACATTCAGTGGCCTGTTGGTTCACCCATTACGTCATTTGTTAGCACCTTCCTGCTAATGCCTCGCATAATAGACTGCTCAGCTACTATGTAGCGAGTGAAATGGCAGGACGCCCGGGCTCAGGAGGTCATCGTTCCAAGATATTCTATCGAATTCGTGGGCCACGCGCCAGTGCGTGAGTCCCATGCCACTTATTGTATGGGGCTCTTAGTCTAAGAAAAACAGCGAGTCAATTACCTTCTGAGCATGGTTTGCTACAGCCTATTTTAGCCCAAGGTTGTATGAGATTACCGATTCTAACTTCTGTTGATGGATTATGATATATCCAGGGACCAAGGTGTCAATATCAAGGGTACTTCCCAAGGCCTGTAAGCTGTTGACAGCACATTGCCCTGTTCCATCATGATCCACGACCGTCGTAAGCCCCGGGTCTGTTGCAAGTCCGTGCAGCTGGAAATTCTGTTCCCGTGGATGCTAACTGGCCAGCCTGGTACAATTTCAGTAAGAATAATACATGAGCTACATAGCCTGGCATGGGCTCTCCCTCTGAAGGGGCTGTGCGTCCGATATCGAAAACGATCAGATGTCTATATCATGAAGGGTCTCTGTGATCGCATATTCAGTGTATCATTAGTAGTGCGGTGTATGCGGATAGCAGATCACGTACCCTTAGAGAGGCGAATGCGCTCTCGTTTCGTGCAGCCATCCAACCGCATATCACATTCTAAAAACTTGGGTAGCTCACACCTGCATGCTATGTCTAATAAAAAAGTGAGCACTGCGCTGTCAGCAACATCAAATACTCCTGAGCTCTCCTCAACATGACGTGTACATTCATTCATGAATTTATGGAAACAGTACTCCTCCCAACCTGTTAATATGCTAGTGTCCGAGGGTCGTGATAATGAGACCGTCGTATTCAGGTCATCATGGACAGTCACCACAAGTCTTCGTAGATTGTCGTGGATAGTGTTCAAGCCATGCCATTTACGCTCCCTAGCAAGTTTTAGGCACCAATGTGAGAACATGAGGATATTATCCGTTTCAAGGCCTCCTTTCGGAAGAGACATAAACTCCGATAAGAAAAAATTCAAATCTACGGGATACCGCAGTGAATAAATACAATTTATGGGTGCGAGTGTTATGAATTCTCTTACCTGCGCTATCAAGCTCATTCCTGAACCGTCTAATCACTTCGAATGCAAATCCCCATCCGAGAGGCTTGGCTCCACCTCTGGTGTTTGTCATCGTATGCTGCCACAATCTTCGAAGACGAGCTCGTACAGTGGGCCAATCATTCATCAGCTGAATAAGACCCTCCACGTAGTAATTGACAGCATGCCAATTTTCCCTAGCATGAGGATTGTCATCAGATATCACAGGCAGCATATCAATGAAGCTGTCTAGCATGGCCAGGATATGGCCCTTTTCTTGCTCGCTCGCCCGTGTAGCATAATATTTGCCCCATATCCAACTCAGAGGATATTCGAACTGCCCACGCTTCGAAAGTGCAGCTAAGGAGTTGAGAACAGTTTCGGAGTTGGTGGAATCGAAACAAAGCAGAGACACAGGGACAATGAACGCGCTATCCGAGACCATTGTGTACGCTTCTGTTAACATTTGGCCTTGAAATGGCGTTGGAGAGCTTGTATTCTCCTTTATTGCATTTAAACACGCCACCTCACACGCTCTCCAGTCCTCTGAGTTCCAGAGATCCCGGACGAAGTAACTCCGATCCAGGAGCGCTGAAAGCAACCCATCCACGGTGTCATTATCTGTAGGTAACGCAGACAATACATCAGAAAGTGTTAAATGCAGCAGTTACAGAGTCTGTCTACCCACAGACTTCGCCGATAGTCCTCCGCCACCCGAAAGAGGTCTCCCAATGCTGGAGTGGAGTCCCCAGCTGTTGAAGTGAGGTTTTCCACTGGCAGATATAGACTTTCCACTGTCTGAGGGGAATTTTCCACTGCAGGAAGGTCTTCCACTGCCCGAGGGAGACTTTCGACGACTCATGGGTGCCTATATATGATAGTAGGAACGCGTCAGACGAGTTGGAGCAATAGTCAGCATCCGAACCTAACCGAATGCGCCAGATTAACTTGGAGGCAGCAGAATAAATTAATCGCTCAGAACCACGGAGCAGCTTTAGCCACCACCATGCCTGTGGAGACTTGTAGGCACAGTCAGGGATGATAGCGGGAATGAGCGCGGTACCAATGGTGACCAAGAGCAGCAAAGAAACGAGCGCGCACACGACAATAGATATGCTAGTACTCAGTGGCCATAACAGAATGACCAGGCCGACGAGGAATAGAGCCAGCGATGCTTGTAGAAGGACTGGAAGAACACTGATGATGAGAGGAACCTTCCACAAATCAAGACTCCGACGGCGTAAGTACCAAATCTCCGCGCTCTCTCTTGACATGCTCGATGGTCGCACTCGATGATGGTTTAGCCACTGATTGACGGATATAGCGAGGGATGCTGCTCCAAGGCTAAAGACCAACGCAGCGAACCACAGGCCATTGACGGCAACAGTCTGAGACGAGGCCTGTGTCACCGAGGACGAATTGACTAGAGCAGACACAGACGGAAAGAGATGGTCTCTGTGATCAGCATTGGCAGCAAGAACATCCAACTGCGCGGAAATGATCATGAGGGACTGCGCAGTAGTGTCGAAAGTCGATGGTTGAAGAGTGGAGTAGTATTCAACCACAAATGAGGTGAGGACGGCTGAAAATAGACCGGCCTGTTCACGACATGGCAAAAGGAATCGTAGATCAGTCCCGGCGCACATAGACGAGCCCATAGCAGCAGCACACTCACAAAGATAAGTAGGGTGTTCAATTCATCCTTCCACCTGTCGATGATCTCCCCTTGATGCTCCCACACTTGCTCGGCACACTCAGACCACACCCCTTGCAAGTCTTCCTTTATGATTGTCTTGCGGCCTTGCTTCTGCGACGGTGGTTGCTGATTTGGAGCAAGGGTTGTAATTTTTGGAAGAAACCGAAGGCGAGGTGGGGACAATGCACAATCTATGAGCTTCTCGAAGCCTCAGTAAGCCTCCCAAACTCTCACCTCCATATTGGTTTTGTGTTCTCCATCGTTGTCCAATTCAGGAACGTCATCCTGTAGCATGCATATGTTATCAGCCTCTCGTGCCCAGAAGATACTAATGCTTACCGAGACATCCTTGATGGACACTCTCCACCCTGAGACGTTGAAGCCATCTTTGACGTCGTTCACAGATGGATCTTCTTTAAGGGCCTGCGCAAGGAGTTGTAGTACAATTTGAGACCTCGAGATTCTGGAATGCTCACCGTGAGCGTGTTATCAACACCCGCTGGTCCATGTCCAACTCTCAGTGCTATCTGGGTCCAATTGTAGGTACCAATAAATAGCAGAGCTTCAGAACGACATGAACATACCCCTGCGCTCAATTCGCCATCTGTAGAGTGGCCCGATACCACAGACCCAACAGATTTGTCAATTGGACGGGTCTGTGCCTCCAGATCGATCTCACCGCCATGTGTTCGACATAACAGAGAAGCCGAATTTGGATCAGTAGAAGGCATTGTTACGAGACTCAGTGTTGATGAAAATCCGGGGACGCAGGAGACATCTTATGGGCAGGGAAAATGAGGCTGAGTCGTCCCCTCAAAGCAACCATCTACGAACAATGTGGCGGTTCATTGATGGTTAGACACTATCCGATACACTCCACTGCATTCTGTATAGATTTCAGATGGTGCCTGCAATTCGCAAGCTCCCCAGAAACCACAGGTGATCCTTCGGTGAATGTCTCAACACAAAGGTTCATTAGGAAAACAGGAAATCACCGGAAATGCTGTACAAATCAATCAGATCCGCGGAAGCATACTTACAGTTCCATCAACTCGTTGTACACTTTCCTAGCACTTGAATCTTTGAGCAAGGCTTTGCACTCATAGAAAATGCACACTCACTAGTAGCGATCACAATGGACTGCGATCAGCGAAGTGAGTCATTGATGAGAGCGATTCTACGTGTTTACGCTCATCGGCAATGGACGTCGGTAACATTATGATTGGCATATATGGCGTCCATATCACCGCATGCAGAGTTTCCATAATGAGACTGGAAATAGACACTATTCAATTCTCGACAGGAATTGATTGGGGGCTTGAGAACGAGAGAAGCGTTGCTATCCAGCCACGATATCTGATCCCGTTATTTGAACATGTGATAGTGAATTGTTGATGAACGTACTCATCTCCAGTCATAAAATCCACTTCTCTATTCCTTGAGAGCGTTATTTCTCAGCCGAGTACATCCAACGACTTGGCGCTGGTTTTTCACTTGCAGCATCTGAATCGTACAAACGATAAGAGGCTCAACTCTACTTGAATCGACGGCGAAGCGCATGTAAGAAGTATACGGGGGCGGCCGCTCATCCCAGCTCCTGGTCTTGCTCTAGCTTACGGTCGACGTGGGGCAGGTGCTCACATCTCAGTCCATGTAATCCCCCAGAGATCCTGTTCGGCAGTGGAGTCTACAAATATGGCTTGAAGAGCAACAGAAAGGGCGAGAAGATATAGGTACGAGATGGGTAAAACAAGGGTAAGGTGCATTTACAACACAATGCTTAGAGTACGAACTCGCAAGCAGTTTTCGATTCGCTGGCCGAGGAGGATTCGCTGAAGCCCGAGCGTGCGCCAGCTATCTATATTCGCTTACAGATGTTGCGGCCATCGCGCCCCAAACCGATGCAGAGTCCGCGTCACGAGTATGAACTTGGGTCGGGATCGGGGAAGGAACATGGACGCACGTGGTAGACTCACCCGTTGTAACAGCTAGCAAAGCCAACGTAGGGCATACAAACGTGGATGCTGTCGTAGCTGTTGCACTCCGAGTCGCACTTGAGAGTTTCACAAAAGCTGTCCTCATTTATTCGAGCGTATCGACCCAGATCCTGCACGTCAGATGGCTACTGCGTAGCAGTGAGATGGATGGAAAGGCGCAGGCCGAGTGGACATTACTAAAAAGGAGAAGCCAGGGGCTACGGAATTCTGGAAGGAGAGGTAAAGGGGCGTAGAGTTGTTGACGGTGGCAGTGGACGGAAGGAGAGAGGTGATGCACAACTGTGCGTCACGGTGTATGGACTATGGGGCGAGTTGTGTGGGACAGTTGGAAAGCATAAGGATGATGATTGACCGCATATACCAACTTGCTTGTATGCATACTGTCAGAGTCGGGGTCACGGAAGTGGCAGAAGGTCCAGGACGCAACGTCCCGAGTCTTCACAAATAGAAAGAGTTGTGGGTGGGAGAGACGAGAGACGGGAGACTGGCAGTCTGACGGATCGTCTTTGACAAGGAGTACGTACTAGTCGGTGGCGGCAGCAAAGGCTTGACGAAGGACGCACAGCACCCAAAGTAGGCCAGAGTCGGAGGAGCTAGCCAGATTGAAGGAGACACGCAAGAGAGAGCGGAGGAACAAAAAGTTGAGACATTGATCGATGAGCCGTCTCCGCCTTGAACTGGTTGGACCAAACTCGGTGCACTAGCAGCGCCAGCTCGCTAGCTGCTCTTGTGTCGCCTGCCGTCATCACGCAAAGGCAGCATCCTATTTGGTGCAACTCAGTCGAGGGCTCATCTCGCTCACCACTGCACTCGCCCATCTCTGCTCTTTGATACCACACACTCTTAGAATGCTCCTGACTCCGCCGCGGCATCTGACACCCGACAGCCTCAAGAGCGCAGTGGCTTCCCACAAGCTCTGTACGAGTCCTCAAATTCCAGCAATGAAATAATGGCAAAACCCATGGCAGACAAGGAGGACGCACCTCAGTGTGAAGGCGATGCGTCGTTTTCACATTCCTTCATATATGCATACCCCGCCCTTGCATTTTCGCTCTAAAGTTGTTGAATGCCATGACGATGGTCCCGCGTGCCTTTCCAGCTTTTGTGCTTTGTGCGTGTCTTCGTTTGTCGTTTTGGCGTTTTGGCGCCAAGACAGAACCACTACACACCATCTTTCTGCTGACCCGACTTGCTTTCTACAGGCACCTTGCGCTGCACCGTCGTCAAATTAGTCAGACCGGTCTTGCGCGTTCCACATGAGGCACCATTTACTTCGACCGTTCGGGAAGCAAAATCACCAAGTCTAAGGAGCGGTCTTGTGTGCTTCGCATTCCTCAGACGTTCACACTCAGGCTGACCATCCGTTGGACAATCCGCTGTCGACATAATCTGTTGTTGCGATGATCTTGACGCATACTCTCCTTTAGGTTCTGCGGCCAATAAGCTACCAGGCACATCGCTGCTCTATCCGTCAAACCAGCCCGCTCTAGAACACAATTTGCTCCACGTATTCCGCTACCTCTACCTTCTTGCTGACCCCGGCACGTATGCGCATCCCGTCACGAATCGGCTCAAGGCGCGCTGCCAAAGTCACACCACGGGGTGTGCACCTCTGTGGCCTCCATGCAGCTGCAGTACTGTTTAATGCAGCGGACTAGCACGGCAGACCACGAAATAGAGAACTTGCGTTGTTCCTCAGTTTTAGACGTTATCTGCCTCGAAAGAGACACGCCGTGCCAATGTGAGCTCACTAGATCGCAGAGCAGTAATGACTATGGCCGCTCTTAGCCGTAAGTACGCCATGTCTCGTCCCTCTGCCGTCTCTCCTGCCCCGTGATGAGGTACTTCGAATACTCCTCATGGTTATCCGACGGCGTCAGCAGCTATTCAGAACGACACGGCGTGTTTGATCACAAGCGTGCCATCCGTCGAGTAGGTTGTCACGCTGTTGTCTCCACAATCCAGCATATCCGACACCAAGTACGCCACTGGCATTAAGCACATATTGTCCTTCTGCGTCTGAGACTCTGCGGGCGCTCGTAGATACAATACAACAACGCAGTATGAATGTTCTCTAGCTAGTTCTCATAGAGGTAGGGTAAATTCAGTAATCGCATCGAAGGGGTCGCCAGAGCACAAATAACACAAGCCATGCATGTACCGAATCGTATCGCATCCTAATGCAGCTTGTGAATCAAGAGTTGGAAGCTTCACCATTTTCGACGTATATATCAGACGGAAGAACACATGAAGCACGGAGCCTGGCACAGGCCCTCTCTATCCTGGCATTTCGCTCGTACCGTGACGAGGATCGCAAGACGTCTAGATCACGGAGGGTCTCTACATTCGCATATTCAGCGTGTGAGTCGTGCGATGTATACGAAGAGCAGACCACGTACCCTCAGGGAGGTCGACATACTCTCTTATCTTGCCCACCTCCTTGATATTATCACCCTCATAAACGCTGTCACAGGCGCACGCCAAATCTACAAAGAATGCAAGCATGTTACCAGTGACATCAAATATTCCAGATTTCTCCTTGACATGACGTGTAAATTCAGCTATAAAGTTACCGAAGTAGTACTCTTCCAAAAGGTCTAAGATGTTGGTGCTTGAGTTTGGCGACAGTAAAACAGCGGCATTCAGGTCGTCATAGATAATCGCCACAAGTCTTCGCAGGTCATCACGGATAGAGCCTAGGCCAAGCCATTTGCGCTCCCTCGCGAGCTTGAGGAACCGCCACGAGTGATAGAGGAGGTCACCTCTGTCAAAGTCTCCTTTCTGGAGAGACAAAAACACCGATAGTAAAAAGTCCAGATCTGGAAGGCATCACAGTGAATGAGTAAAGTTGTGAGTGCAAGTATCATGAATGCTCTGACCAGTATTATCAAACTCGGCCTCGAAAGTGAGGCCAACTTCGAACACAGAGTCCCATGGCATGTAGTGAAATTTGTGCGTTGTGCTTGCCTTCACTATGCTTTTCCACCACTTTCGAGGTCGATCTCGGACGATCCGCCAATCATTCATCGAGACTATAAGTCCACGTATGTAGCAATTGACGGCTGCCAAATTCTCCTCAGTACCAGGAGCATCGCTGAGTATCATAGGCAACATGTCGATCAAACCATCTAGCATTGCAATGACGTGACGCTTTTCTTCCTCGCTAGCCCGTCTAGCATAGTATTCGCCCCACATACGACCTAGAGAACCACGAAATTGTACACGCTCCAAAAGTGCAGTTAAGGAATTGAGGGCAGTTTTGCAGTCATCGGTATCGAAACAAAGCATGGTCAAAGGGAAGGTGAGAGACTCATCCGAGATCATCGTGTATGCTTCTGCGAACACTTGGTCCTGAAATGGTGTCACAGAGCTTGGGTTTTCCTTTATTGCAGTTAAGGAGTCCACTTCACATGCTCTCCAATCTCCAGCGTTCCAGAGACCCTGGTTGAGTTCACTCCATCCCTTGAAGATATTATACAGCCACCCCACAGTGTCACAATCTTAGACGATACCAGAAATGCATCAGATAATCTCAAAAGTAAAAATTCAGGAACCTACCGACGTCATGACGGACAGTCCTCCACTGTCTAAAAGAGGTCTTGTACTGCTTGAGAAAGCCCACCAAGCGCTTGAGCGGAGCTTTCCATTGTTTAAGGTAGGCCTTCCACTCTCCGAGAGAGGCCTTCCATTGCCTGAAGGAGATCTTTTGCAACTCATCGGTGACTGTAAAAGATGTTAGGAATGTGTCAGAAGGGACAGAGAGCAGCAATCGGCATCCGTACCGAGCTGCCCACGAGAGCAAAGGCGGGACGCCAACTTGAGGCCAGCAGAAGAAATCAATTTCTGAAGACCACATAACAGCTTGAGCCACCACCATGCCTGCGGAGACTTGTAGGCGCAGTCAGTGACGATAGCAGGAATCAGTGCAGAACCAATGGTGCCCAGTAGCAGCAGGGAAACCAGCACACACATAACAGCAGATATGGAAGTATTCAATGGCCATAACAGTACGACCAACCCAACAAAGAATAAAGCCAGCGAGACTTGCAGGAGGACAGGGAGAACACTGATGATGAGCGAAACCTTCCATCGATCGAGGCTTCGATGGCGCAAGTACCAGATCTCGGCACTTTCTCGAGACATGCTCAATGGTCGTGTTCGGTGGTGATTCAGCCACTGGTTGACGGATATAGCGAGGGATGCTGCGCCGAGGCTGAAGACGAGCGCAGCAAACCATAGACCGTTGACGGCCACAACTTGGGATGAAGGTTTCGATGCTGGGGACGAACTGGCAAGCGCGGACATGGATAGGAGAGATGAGTTGTTGTAGCGAGCACCAGCAGTAAGAACCTCCAGCTGCGCAGACATGATCATCAGAAGTTGTGTAGTGGTGTTGGGAGTCGTCGATGGCTGTAGCTTTGGATAGTATTCGATCACGAATGCCGTGAGCACAGCCGAAAACAGACCGGCCTATTGATCAGATCCCAGTAAATGGCACGTCAGTTCTAGCGCATACGGACAAGAAAACAGCACGCTCACAAATATTAACAAGTTATTCAATTCGTCCTTCCACCTTTTGATGATCTCGTCCTGGTACCCCCATAATTTGTTGGCACAGTCTGACCACACTCCTTGCAAATCTTCCTTGATAATGTTTTCAGGTTTTTGCTTCCGCTGTGATGGTTGCTGTTCTGGCGCCGACTATGTATGATTGGGAAGAAATTGGTGTCAAAGGGGGACAACGCATAATATATGAGCATCCTGAATCATCAATAGGCTCCCCAAGTTCTCACCTCTGCATTGGGCTTCTGTCCTCCGTTATTGTCGCCATCAGGAACAGCGTTCTGCACCACATACTTTATGTCAGCTTATCATGCTCAGAGGATTCTAACGCTTACTGGGACATCCTTGCTCGAAGCTGTCTGCCCTTGGACTTTGGAGCTTTCATCGACCATATTTATAGGCGAAGCTTCTTTCAACATCTGCATAGCGACGTATAGGGCGATTTGAATTTCGAGGCCTAGAATGCTCACCGAAGGCTTATTGTCAATATCTGCCTCTTTGTCTCCAGGTCGAATTTGAGACTGTATCCCGGTTGGAGTAATAAGGGAGGGCGCAGCTTCAGAGCGAGGCGGTCTCGTCTCTGCACTCGACTGGACATCGGTCGAATTGCCCGCAAAGGACTCAACAGATTTATACATCGAGTTGACCTGTGCCTCTAGGTCAAAGTCAGTACCGTCCCCTTCAGATAAAGCCGGTGATGGAGAGGCAAGATTTGGACCAGGAGAAGACATTGTGTGCAATCCAGGGGGGTTGATCTCACATGAGGGATGGGACTGATTTTTGTGCTTTTCCTCAAGCCGGCGCCTGCAACGATGCGAAGGTTCATTGATGCCATTGCACGTTGACCGGGACTCTAGCTCTGATGTATTCAGGATAGAGTTCAGATCCAGCCCACAAGTCACAACCTGGTGTAAGCTCTCACTAAAGATCTTGAACGAGAGCCTTTGCTGATCTCTGTGATTCAATAGTCACTTTTGCCAAGTGCTCCCTGCAGATGCATGAGCTCCAAGTTGATTCAACAATGAGATGCAGCACGTACCACGGTCGCGCGCTTTGTAGGCTCCTGCTTCCTCCCATGGGATGTGTATGCATAGACATGGAAGTGTGGACCTGAACACGCGTTGTTGTACCACACACCCGAAACGGGCAGTCCATCCTCAGAGTCCACTGCACAACAGCCAATCGGATTGCTCCACCTAAGACAGATACAGTCCAATGAGGCCTAATCGCACTTTCTTTCGGCGGCCACACCTTCAGCTAGGGTTTTCATCAATGGGCCGAGAAGCACCCTCATTCATAATGGCCCCTGGGTGTTGCACTCGGCCCGACGAGCGCATTAGCAAGAAAACAGCAAACAGCATCAAGACTAGCATTTTTACACTGGATGTGACAGTATCAAGCAGAGCATGGAAAGAATTAGGCCGATTGGGACAAGTGTAGCCCAGCTGGTTCACCGGTCAGCGAGGGATCTCGAACAGACATTGAATAGGAACGTACCTGCTGGAGAAGTGTTCTTCCTAGCTCCCTACAACGATATTGCAGATACGCTAACGTACGTACCCGGATGATAAATGTCTCATCTAAGTCCTTATTGTGGTGTCGCAGACACGTTCGGCTCCAAATCACCTATTCGACTGCCTCGAACAAACATAATGCATTCTATACGTAAATGGGGTTAATGGTCTGACATGTTCACAAACTTTATAGGTGTTCCATCTAGGTCACGTACACGGCTTGTTTTTCGATGGAACAGGCGCAATTTGTAGTCATCGTCGAGATGGCGAGGACGCTTCAGCTTGGACCTACTAGCAGTGCGCAAATAAAAGGACTTGTAGCGTAGCTTGGGTCCTGTTCAGAAGTCAACTTGATAGTGAGCTGATCGGCCAGGAACGTGGGAGTCAGAAGCAGGTATGATAAGGAAACAGTGAAACTTGGGAGATCGATATAATGAACGAATATTTGTTGGTAATCGAAGCGACTGCAGGCAAGCCCGAGACATGCCCAAGGCCGTAACCCAATTGATTGTTTCTCATCTCTCAGTTCCCCTTCCTTCTCATCTGATCCATCATGAACGGCTGACTATGGAGACCACTCTTATTGCAATGACGAACGCATTGACGATTGTGCACGCGAATAACACAAACGCCTGCTCGCCCTCCATCGCGATAGGGTGGAAAGCCATGCAGAACAAGTGTGAGCAGGCGCATGAGCACCTTTGCGGAACACACAACTCCCAGTAGGAGATCGTCTTGCCACCACTTGTTGTGCAAGTTTGCGTCGTCGAAAGAGAAAGCAGAATCTAGCGTCCAAGATGCCAACACCCACTCTCAGTGAATCGTGTTCGCCGACACGTACTTGTCCCACAGGCTGGTAGGCGTGTACGCCCTATAGCTCTCCAATCTAGGAGCATGAGGCGGTGACTATCTATTCAGATATTGTCCTCGACAGTGTAAGCAGCGGCGATAGCATCTGCAAAATGCTGGTTTATGGCGAGGCACTGCTTCAAGCATGCGAACTCGTACCAGGCTGTAGGCCTGGGCATGTCGGGGGCTGGCATGCGCGGAGAACCTGGAGCGCAAGTCGTGAGGATTCACATGAATTAGTATCAGTGAGGGGACACAGACACGGAGAGCTCTCTGTAGCAGCTGCAAAACGCAGTGTCAGTGATCCAGATGGGTGTGCGGTTGTACTGGTAGCTGGCGCGCATGTGCGGCTCAATATTGTACTTGAGAGTCCCACGAGAGTCATTCGCATTCGTATTGAGGGCAGCACCACATATCCTGTGCCTTAGACAGCTTCTGTGTGGTGCAAAAGATGGGAAGGCGCAGGCCGAGTGGGTGTGCAAAAACTGTGGGGGAGCGGGGGCGACATTGTGCACATTCTCATACGCAGGGAGCGCGTGGATTGGCTGAGAATGGTAGCCAATTGGAGCAAGACAAAGACAAATGTGATGAAATCTCTACATGTCCAGAGCGAGGGTAGAACAACTAAAGACATACAAGGACGATGAGGGCATACTCCTAGGCCGCATGTACCAACCTGTCGGCATGTTATACTGTCTGCACAGAGAGACTCAGGACCAGAGAGGTGCAAGAGAAATGCAAAGAGTTGTCGGCAGAAGAGGTGAAGGGACTCTAGACAGACCATTTAGCTGATCGTCTTCGACAAGGAGTCCGAGTCAGTCAAGAAAAATTATGGAGAATGCAGGCCATAGGCGCTAACTCGGAGCTCATGCAGTGGAAGGAGATGCGCAAGGATAGGGATGGCAAACAGGCCCAAGCTGGCAAGTTGAGAGATTTCTTAGAACACACGCCGAGTCCGAGTCCGAGTCCGACGAGCCTGAGAGCCGCGGCAGAGGAGCAGTGTCGATCAAGCACTAGATCAATCCACCCTAAACAGGAAATGAGGCGGCGACCAGCTCATGAGCCTGGGTTCTTATGTCGCCCGCCACTTCAAGCTGTTCTGCACGCTGCTCACCCTGGGCCCGAGCCCCTCCCGCACCATGCCTGCCTGAATGCACATGGTCCTTGAACTGACAGCACAATTCAAACCAACCGATGTCTGTAGTCTTCTCGTGCGCCACTGATTCCCCGCACCAGTCAAACAAGGGGAAGCCAGGCTCTTGTCTCAAGGTCATATTCTTGTGTCTACAGCAACCCCTGGTGCCCCCATGCGGTGTTCAACATGGCGATCTGGCACGGTAATCCGCCTCATTTGGAACAAGTGAGAGGATCCGGAAAAGAGACCGCGCCCCGCGGAGTGAGCTCAATGGATCACCAGAACCGTGGAGCACCAGCTGCTCTTAGTCACAAGTACGTTGCGTCTCGTTTTCAAGGCTGCCGTGCCTCCTGTCCTGCGATGAAGGATATCGAATGCTCGTTCTGGTCGTCCAACGGCATTGGCAGCTTCTTCAGAACGAGACGGCGCGTTTGATCACAGGGACGTTATTTGTCAAGTGTGTTGCTCCGCATGTTCTCCTTGAATGCGGTCGCGCTGATGTCTCCTCGATTCAGCACACTCGCCATCAAGCAGACCATTTGTGGTAGCACATGTCGTATATATGCGTCTGAGGCTCTGCAACGCTTGTAAGTACTGAAATATATAGCGTAGTACAATACGACAGCACATAATACATCTTCCGTGACTAGTTCTTTATAATGTTTCGCAGAGGGAGAGTGGATTTAGCAGTTGCATTAGGGCGGGAAATGAACATTACGCTACAAATAATCCACACCGCACCCCATGCAGCTTGGAGATCAAAAATTGGACTCTTCTCCATCTTCGACGTGTACAATATCAGCCGAAGGAGCACATTGAGCAAGAAGTCTGGCACGGGCTCTCTCCCTCCTAGCAGGCTGTTGGTCGGGTTCGGAAGACAGTCAGACATCTATATCATCGAGGGTCGCTGTATTCACATATTCAGCATGTGGGTCGTGCGGTATAAATGAAGAGCACACACGTACTCTTAGGCAGGTTTTGACAAGCCTTTGCAATCTGCACGCAAGCTTCTTCATAGCATCTACCCGATAGGGGTTCTCGCAGCTGCATGCCAGGTCTACAAAGAATGCAAGCAAGTTGCCACTAACGTCAAATACTCCAGTATCTCCCTCAGCATGGAGTGTAAATTCAGCTGTGAAGCTTTCGGAAACCACCTCCCAAGATTTGAATTTTGTTGCGCCCGAAGTTCGCGACAGTAAGACAGCGGTATTCGAGTCGTCATAGATAGTCGCCACAAGTCTTCTTAGGTCATCGCAGATAGAGCCTAGGCCAAGCCATTTGCGCTCCCTCGCGAGCTTGAGGAACCGCTGCGAGTAATGGAGGAGGTTATCTCTGTCAAAGTCTCCTTTCTGGAGAGACAAAAACACAGATAGTAAAAATTCCAGATCTGGAGGACAGCACGGTGAATGAGTGAAGTTGTGAGTGCAAGTATCATGAATGCTCTGACCAGTACTATCAAACTCGGCCTCGAAAGCGCAGCCAACTTCGAACACATAGTCCCATGTTACGTGCTGAGTTTTGTGCGATGTGCTTGCCTTCACTGTGCTTTGCCACCACTTTCGAAGTCGATCCCGGATGATCCGCCAATCATTCATCGATGACATAAGTTCGTATATGTAGTCATTGACCGCTTGCCGATTTTCTTCAGCATCAGGATCGCTGCTGCATATCATAGGCAGCATGTCGATCAAACCATCTATCATTGCAATGACGTGACGCTTTTCTTCCGGATTAGCCTGCGTAGCATAGTAGTTGCCCCATATATGACATAGAGGACCTTCAGAATACACACACTTCGAAAGTGCAGTCAGCGAGTTGAGGGAAATTTTGTGGTCAACGGTATCAAAACAAAGCATAGACATAGGGAAGATGAAAAACCTATCAGATCATCGTGTATGCTTCCACGAGCACTTGGCCCTGAAATGGTGTTGAAGAGCTTGTATTCTTCTTTATTGCAGCTAAGGAGACCACTTCACATGCTCTCCAATCCCCAGCCCTCCAGAGACCCCGGGCGAGTATACGTTGATTCTGGAAGTTTTCGAACAGCCGTCCCACAGTGTCACGATATTAGACAATACCAGAAATGCATCAGATAATCTCAAAAGTAAAAATTAAGGAACCTACAGACACGACGGGCAGTCCTCTGCTGTCCAAAAGAGGTCTTGTACTGCTTGAGAATGTCCACCAACCGCTTGAGCGGAGCTTTCCACTGTTCAAGACAGGCCCTCCACTGCCCGAGAGAGGCCTTCCATTGCCTGAAGGAGATCTTTTGCGACTCATCGGTGACTGTAAAAGATGTTAGGAATGTGTCAGAAGGGGCAGAGAGCACCAATCGGCGTCCGTACCGAGCCACCCACGAAAGTGAAGGCGGAACGCCAACTTGTAGCCAACAGAATAAACCAATTTCTGAAGACCACGTAGCAGCTTTATCCACCACCATGCCTGCGGAGACTTGTAGGCACAGTCAGTGACGATAGCAGGAATCAGTGCAGAACCAATGGTGCTCATTAGCAGCAGGGAAACCAGCACACACACAGCAGCAGATATGGAAGTATTCAATGGCCATAACAGTACGACCAATCCGACGAGGAATAGAGCCAGCGAGACTTGGAAGAGGACAGGGAGAACACTGATGGAACCTTGCATCGATCGAGGCTTCGATGTCGCAAGTACCAGATCTCGGCACTTTCTCGAGACATGCTCAATGGTTGTGTTCGGTGATGATTCAGCCACGGGTTGACGGATATAGCGAGGGATGCTGCGCCGAGGCTGAAGACGAGCGCAGCAAACCATAGACCATTAACTGCCACAACTTGGGATGAAGCTTTCGATGCTGGGGACGAACTAACAAGCGCAGACATGGATAGGAGAGATGAGTTGTTGCAACTAGCACCAGCAGTAAGAACCTCCAGCTGCGCAGACATGATCATCAGAAGTTGTGTAGTGGTGTCGGTCGTCGATGGTTGGAGGGCTGGATAGTATTCGATCACGAATGCTGTGAGCACAGCCGAGAACAGACCAGCCTATTGACCACATCTCAGCAATTAGCACGTAATTCTAGCGCATACAGACAAGAGTGACAACATGCTCACAAATATCAGCAGATTATTCAATTCGTCCTTCCACCTTTTGATGATCTCGTCCTGGTACCACACTCGAAAGGGGCAATCCATCTTTACCATCCGCTGCACGACAGCCAATCGAATACCTCCACTGCAGACAGATGCAGTCTTATAAAGGTTCGTACATACTTTCGGTTGCTAAACATTCAGCTAAATTTCGCATCAAAAGTTAAACAAAAATGAACATACCCCTACCCTCAATTCTCTGCACGTCAAATTACTAACCACGAATGATGAAACGGGTATGGCTGTTGCGTAATATGTGCCTGTACGTCGTTGTTCTCTCGACAGACAAATTGCGACCGTCAGGCCGGATTTGGATCAGGGGAGGTCATTGCCCAAGGGGCAGTGAGTTGAATATGACACGGGTTAAGGGTGCGATGGTTTCTTATAATTTTCCTCAAGGCGGCGCGAGGGATCACACGAAGGTTCTTCGATGCGGTTGGACGCTGTACAGTACTCTGAGTTGGCCCTCAAATTAAAGTTTGCATCAATGGACGAAGTATCCTCGTACCCTCATTGATGGTGGCGGCAGGGCGTCACACTCGGCGCGATAAGCTCGGTAACAGTAGTCCTCCAGATTTATAAGAATTAGCAGCACACAGGCGTCACAGCCAAATTCCATACCACTGTGTACTTGACTGTGTATGCTACGTCGAGCGAGATCCTACCAAAGACGAGATCGTGATCGATCGAGTATATATGTAGGCTGATGCTGTGCAAAGTAACTGATAGGCCATGACCTGAGCTGGATAGTTGCACGGCCGTCATCGGTGATACGATTGTAGTCAGACAGTACGGGAACGACCTCACATGCACATTAACTCATAGGATGTTAATATTGACGAAGTCTCCCGGGGCATGTCTACCTATCAGGCCTCCCACCATTCCTTGGTTGGCGCTTGAGCGTGAGTGTGTGAGCTGATCGCCCAGCATACAGTGAGGCACGCACTTACTACGCTTGACAACTAGTATTTCTCGTTTAAAAGCGCGCGGTAACCGTCGCTGAAGCTCCATTTCAAGATACCTCACCCTACCCGCCGCCAACGACCAGTCGTACTCAAACACAAGGCTCTGGAGTTCAGCATATTTGGATTGTGACAACGCCTCGTCGAGACGGTTACAGTCCAGCTGGTCGAGCAGCCAATCGCTAATCTCGTAAGAATTGAAGACGATTGTCACGGTAGAAATGGTGCGAGAATTCAAGTGCGAGAGAAGCATTGCGATCCAACCACCGTCATCCCACCTTCTGAAGCGAACACTTTGCAAAGAGGTGTTTGACATCACAAAGCGGTGATCCTCTGATAAAGACAATGAACGGTCGATCCATAGGAAAACATATACACACACCTATAGCAACTTCCAGTGGTTTCTTCTGCGTGCCGCGGGAGACTGAGATCTCCAAGTGAAGTAACGACCCGCCTGCAGCGTCCAACAACTTAGCCAGATGTTCCACCTGCTCCACATGAATCGTGTCGATAACAAGCCGTTCCACGCCAGACACTGGGGTACATGCGAGCAAACTTCCGACAACATTGTTTGTAATATCGATTTGCTGCAACGCGATGTGCTTTAGCTTTACTGGTGAACCTGGCACAAATGCCTGCGGTGTGTACTTGTCCAGCGGGGATGTTATGTTTTCGCAAATGAGGACAGACAGGTTAGGAAGCGACGATACCAGCTGGCCGAATGTCGTCCATGTGGGAAATCGGAGTTTCCCAAGATATAAAGTAGTCACAGACTTGAATTCGCCCATTGCCACCCAGAACTCCGGAACAGGAGGGCGGAATGCCCAAGTTCCTCCACTGTAGCTGAGACGTAATAACTTGATCATAGTGAGTTTCCGAGCGAGCATCAAGGGAAACGATAGGCCCAAAAAGTCGCGCGTTGGAGGGTGTCCGCTCGATAGGGGGTATTCTAAATGAAGCTCCTCCACGCATGGGTTGAGTCCCACTTCTGCCTTGAGCAACTGCACAAATGCTCGTAGATGCCTGGCATTTCTGAGAGTAACCTTGCGATAGAGATAGATGCGGCTCCTGGGGAGCCATGCACGACAAGTCAACGCGCACGAGATAAGGTCCCTACGATACCAGCTCACAATAGGCATCCAGTCGATTACCTGCTCCCATACTTCCGTCGGTAACACGGGTAGGTTCCGCAAATCAGAGTCGTTCGAGTTTGTCGACATAGAGGGGGTGGTTATGAAGAGAACTTCAAAACGAGCTATGTGATGTCCAATCTATCTGGGACGGTGTGACCAACAGGCTACAGCAGCTAGAGGCGAGGAGATGTGAATACAAAATCGATAAGTTCTGCTGCACGACCGTGACATTGTCAACGCGCACAGTCCGTCTTGTTTGAGCTTTGGTCGGCGTTCGGCTAATTCCGCCGCGTACGCCCTAAGTTGCCTGGACCAAGCTAGATAGTCGCATCGCCGGTAAGTAGCAAGCATTGGAATCTGTGAATGAGCTTTGTATTGCAATGTGAGCCCTATCCTTCAGACCTGCATCTGAGTACATGCTGCTTCCATTGCAACAAATCCATGAACGCAAAACATGCATTATTTCTGTACAGCTGTGACAACAAAAATCAAACATGGGTGAGTACAAGATTGCGTGCTATCTGCTAATTATTCTATCCATACAAGAGCCTCATACAGGGGCAGCCACGTAATGCTGACCGATAGTATACACACGAACAGTGCCATCATCCGACGCAGACACAACCTTCTTAGCATCTGGCGAGAAGCGCAGGCGAGTGACATTGTCAGAATGTCCTCCGAACGTCGCCACGCATTCCTTCGTCTCAGTATTCCAGACACGAACCGTATGATCTCCGCCTCCGGCAGCTACGAGTTTTCCGTCTGTAGAAAATGTCGCCGCGTTCACCAAGCCGTCGCTTCCCTCTATCGTATCCACCAGCTCGCCGCCAAATACATCGCAGATCTTCACCACACCTTCGCTCGCGACAGACATCACATATCGCCCATCCGCCGAGAACGCTGCCGCCCACACGGACCCCGTATGTTCGCCCAATGACATGAACTCGTCCCCGTTGATTGCGCTCCAAACTCTGACTGTTCCATCATCCGAACTCGTCACCAGCCGTTTGTTATCCGGAGAGAATGCGATGGAGTATATGACTGCCTCGTGGCTATCAAGCACAGCGATAGGCGTAAGAGTATCGGCGTTCCAGAGTCGCGCGACGCAATCCGCGCTGGCGGTCACCAATCGTGAGCCATCGTGAGAGTATGCAACCATCATAACCATTGCTTCGTGCTCGTCGGAAGAAGCGATCTCTTCCCCCGTCTCTAGTTTCCATAGCCGGACGGTGAAATCCACAGACGCAGAGGCCAAGGTCTTGCCATCTGGCGAATACGTGACGCAATTCACAAAACCCTCGTGGCCCTCAAGCCGCTTGATTTCCGTGCCCATAACGGGATCCCAAATTATGATCATGTTGTCGCGAGAACCAGAAGCCAACTCCATATGAGTAGGCGAGAATGCCAGCGAGCAGATCGCTTGCGTGTGCCCATGTAGTTCATAGAGCTGATGACGGTCTGCGGCAGACCAAACGAAGATTGTCGAGTCCTCGAACCCTCCAGCTATATAGTCTCCCTGGAAGGAGTAGGCGAGTGCGCACACGCCACCTCGGAATTCATTCGCCTGAAGCTGTAGGAGGGTGTCGCTGAGCAGGAATCGCTTGGGCCCCGAAGAACTGCCTTCTTCATTGCCTCGTTCATCACCCTGCGGAGCGTTTTCAGCACCAGTCTGTTGAGATTGACCCTCAGTAGAGCCACTGGGTGGATCAATGGCGGCCTCATCCAAAGTAAGCATTCCCACTATGGGACGTAATTTAGCGGTGAACTATGCTATACAAAATATTGATGCTTACGCCCTTCCGCGTTAATCTCAATAGCTGGCTGCAGACTTTCCAAAAAAGCCGGTATGTCATCAGGAATCGGATACTCGCTGGGCTCTCGTCCCTAAGGACACGACACTAGTGGTCAATTGTGAAGAATACTTCAGGATTCTTACCTCACAGAGATCTATTATATCCTTGTCACTAGCAATCGCAGTTTGTGCCTCGGAATGCTGTAGGCGTAATCTTCAGTAAATCAATCTAGCCCATGTAAAGTGCAGAATACCTGAAGGATGTAGTCTAAGACATAATCGACAGGATCATGCGACTGCACGTACATCAGCTCCGTCGATTTTGAGAAAATAGGACTGGACTGGTACGTACGTAGGATGGAACCGGCACTTGTTCTATGTCATCATCGGAAGAGGGAGATGGATCTCTAGGCTCAGCAGCAGCTTCAAGTTTCCAAAGCGGAACGAACCGTCTCTTTTTGAGCTTGAAATAATGCAGAAAAATGCACTGGTCTGCAGCTCCAGAGCTGGTAAAGATTCTGCCTTTCGGACCCGATCGGCATCCCCAGCTCGCACAATTCTCCAAGGTGAAAGCACGTTCGCTCCCAAAGTGGCCGTTGAAGTGAAGCACCGCACCATTTGCCTGCTGCATCAAGGCTGCCACTGCCCATTGTGTCGTCTTCACCCACCCTCGAACGAAGTAGATGTGCTCAGGCTGAACTTCTGGGCCCCTATCATGAGCAAATTCTATCCAATTCTGCATATGTTTCGACATGTAATTCTTCATCCTACGGACTTGCGGCAACTCTTCTCGGACTGCGGGAGATCCGAGAATGAGTATCGCACCTCTGTCACCAGTGCATTCAAAGCGGTAGGCCCCCGCATTATCACTACTGTGCAAATCGAAACGTTGACTCTCTCTGAACGTACACTTTGCAAACCACTTACGGCTGTTGAATTACGCGAAATGGACCGCTGTGGAATGGGCCAGATGGGATTGCTTCAGTTACAGGCACTGGATCGAGCCCGGCACTTGGGTTAAATATTTGAAAATCTTGTGGCACCCCTTTGCGATTGATCGGATGGTCTTTCTCAAGTGTGGCATTAAAGAGAGGGCGGAATGATCCCTTGTCGACTATACCCACATCTCCGATCATAATTTCGTTGTTGTTCCTGCCCAATTCTGGACACCAAAGAGGATATCCCTGGCCACGTTTGAAAAGCTCTTCGGCGTAGACATCATGATCGTGGAGGTTGTTCATAAGATCAGGTCAATGAAGAGAGACGCCAGCCTGGGTCGGCGAAAATTTGTAAAGCGGGTGGCAGTGGTGCTAGTGCGTTGTTATTTTAGCGCGTGTGCGATAGGAAAGCTCGAATTTTGGAAAACCTGAAGCCATCACGCAAGAGTCCAGCGGCGATCGAGAAGTTAGCCACCAAAAGCTGATTCGGATAACAATGAAATACTGAACCTTTTGGTCACGATAACGACAAACAAGCAGACAGCTCAAGGATGCCTCGTCGGAATTCTTGAGTAAGGTTACTCGGAATTCGCCTTATAAGACGCCTGAATCGGTTGCATTACGTGAAGGTCACCCCTGGAGACCACCTCCAATTAGTCTTGTGCGGGCCGGAGCTATAAATCCTAGAGATGCCAGAAATGGGACAATGGCGTTCTTTGTAGATACTGATATACTGGCATACTGACATCTGAACCATTGAGGGCCTGTTGCGAAGCAGTCGTTTTCCAAAAGTCAGATCCTGAAACTCCGAGTTACTCAGCGCCGCCGCGGCACCGGCTTGAGAAAGCGGAAGTAAAATGACTTGATTCGTTATCGGCTGACGAAATATCTCGCGATCGAAACCGTCGATTACATAAGCATATACATAAATAAACCGATCGCAGTGCAAATCAGTGAAATGGTATACCGTGACATTAAAAGTCCTTTCCTTGGGTATATATATGATAGATGGGAATGTGAAGTCGACACCAAGGACTATCAGCTCCAGCTAGACTATCATTCCACATGCACCGGGGCACTACGTTATTCATACAGATAGTCTTGAACACACTGAGCGTACTTGCGCCCCTTGAAGTCGGCTTGTCGTCGACGTGTCTAGCAGAGACCTAAATAACGCCCCGATGCTCAGTCAAATTGTCCTGCACGCACAGTTGCGAAAAAGAAAAAGAGCGACTTACTGTCTACTTGCATCAACCGGCTTCGCAACCTCGACAAATCGTCCTGAATTCTGTCATGCGTCTCACGATATTGGCATTTTGATGCGAAGTGATCCAGCGCGTTTATTAGGCCCGGATTGAGCACACCAGCATCTATGTCGGACACGATCACACTTTCGCGCGTGAAGAGCGAGAATGATAGTGCCGGTTCGTCGGCGTTGTAAACAATGGCTTCCTCCACGCCTTCTTCGATACAGTCGTGAACAGCCGCCAATGTATATCGACGCCAAGCAAGAAGTTCGTCACAGTCAAATCTTTGATGCAATTCCCTGGAAAGCGAGAGAATAGTGGTCGACAAGCGGAAAATTGAAGTCTTCAGGCAGCTCAGGTTCTTGGGTATAGAGGCCATACATGCGAGCAACATCTTGAAGTCTTAGGGAGGATCAATACGTGAATTTACTAGTACACCAAGACACGCACCATCTCTTTCCAGTTTGCTCTTATACCTAGGTGCAAAGTAGCTTATCAAATTCAGTATTCCACAGTAGGACTTCCGATCCGGATACGCTTTCTGTGATTGCCATAGCTCACTGAGACGACGATAGACATCGAGCTGCGTAGGTGGAAGTGCTTGAAGTAGATAGTAGAGATGGTCTACGATGCGTAATCTATCCCTTTCGATTTGAGACAGTTGCTCCTGCGAGGCGGGCCGAGTCGGAGAAGGAGGGGAGAGTGATGGATCCGCATCAGATTGTGGGATGTCCTGCGCAATCTTCAAGAACATATCAATACAAATGTGTCCCATCATGGTGACAGCCTGTACATCATGTTCTCTAATATTCCATTGTAGCTTTTCCGGTTCCTGAGGGTCTGAAGAATGAGCTCTGCGCTCGAGAACGCCGTAGAAGGCAGGTAGAGCAGCATTCGGATCGCTTCCGTTGAGACACGGCCTCAGAACATCAGTTAAAAAGGAATCATCTAGGATCATCGCGTCGGCCTTTTTGAGCATTGAAAGCTTCGTTTCGTTCTTTTCCTTCAGCATGCGAACAAAGTACGATTCGAACCCTCTCCAATCCTTGAACTTCTGCGAGGCATCGAGGTACCTCCGCCACCTATGAATGCGCTGTGAATACAATTGTTCTGCGAACTTATGATTCAGTCATAAAATCGGATTGAACTGGCATTCACTAACCGTTCAGGAGATCTACAAAAGACCGAGAGATCCACTTCAGCCATCGGATGACTATGAACCACCACCACGCTTGCGGAGATTTGTAGGCACAGTCCGAGATGATCGCAGGAAGGAGCGCAGTCCCGATAGAGACCAGCAGCAACAAACCAACCACGACCAATACGAGACCCGCAATTACTGTGCTGAATGGCCACAGTAGCACAACCAAGCCGACGAAGAAGAGGATCAGCGAGACCTGTAGCAGAATAGGCAGTATGCTAATAATGAATGGGACTCTCCACTTGCGGAGACCGCGATGTCGAAAGTACCAGATGCGAACGCTCTGCTGAGACAAGCTGGCAGGTCGTATCATGTGGTAGTTTAGCCATTGATTCACGGAAATGGCAATTGAGGCTGCTCCAAGACTGAATCCCAGGGCAGCAAACCATAAGCCATTTATGGCGAGAGACTGTATGGATGGTGGCCCATTTGACGAGGAGGACATAGAGGAGTTCAAGATGGAGGGGTCCGGGAATATAACTTCACGTTGACTCGCCAACAGCGTTAGCTGCGCAGAGAAGAGGTTGATAATCTCAGTGGTTGTATTGGGCGATTGAGGTTGTAGTGATTGGAAATAGGGAAAAATGAACGTAGTGAGGACGGCAGAGAAAAGACCAGCCTGTTCGGCGTAAACACCATGAAGTCAGCGACATAGAGAATAACTCACGAATATCAGTAGGTTAGCAATTTCATCTTTCCATTTCTCCACGGTCGCCGCTTCATGTTCCCAGACCTGCTTGGCGCACTCGGACCACCCTTCGGACGCGTCTTTGGATGACAACTTCTCACCAGTACCTGGCTCTTCCGTTGAAGATGGCGCTGCCCCTCCCTCGGGCTTCTCAGAACATTAGAATGTAGCAAAGAAAGAAAAAGGACAGACGTGCCGTCTCGATTGACAGTTTGCCCTGAGTAGACTCGATGGCAAGCTTCTCGAAGTATTCGATCACTTGGTTCGCCGTCTTAAACACACGATCAGTATGCCTTCAACGAACAACAAATTATTTAGAGCAGAATTACCAGAGAACCACCCAACTTGCCAACGTCCGTCGCGAAATTGTTGAGATGTGCGTCGCCAGTATTGTTATCCGCCTGAGCCGCATTCTATGTCTAGTGAGTTGGTATCAGACGATCAAAAGCAGAGAGACGTACTGGTGGCGGGCTAGTAGAAGTAGGTTCATCTGGTTTCAACGATGGAGTTGGGACCTTCGGACTTGGAGGTTGATCGTGAGGTGTGCCGCCACCGGCTCCGAGTGTGTTCATTTCCACGCTCGCTCCGGCCCCATTTTGACGACGCAAGCTTGCAAGCGAAATTCTCGTAGATACAGTCGGCAGCTTCAGACCGCGTCCGTTGACCATAGAGCGATGGAGTACTGAGAAGAATTGGGCGGTAGTCCGCGTGGTCAAAATGCTTTTGAGTTCTACGCCTATGCGCTAATTCTAAGCCGGAAAGTACGACCGTGACGACTCACGAGTGGGCGTCCTGCACCGCAAACTACATGGCCACAGTGGCTGTGCCTTCGAGATGTTCAAAAGAATGCTACAGTATATGCTATGTACCAATGCACCTTCTAACAAGCTAGCTCATGCTTGAGGCTATGCGCATGCAGACGACACGACCCAGTGCGCGTTTTCCAAGTTCAAGCTCAAGTCACACAGGTGCAAGTTATTAACGTTGTGTCTCAACAGAGTCTCTGGCTGCTTTCTCCGACGCAGACCTCAACGCAATCCATATACGCGTCACTTCCAGCATCGCATGCTGCCAATCTATCTTTGTAGTAACTTTGTGATTGGTCCTAGCAAAGCGGCAGCATATAACATGTGGGGAAAATGTCTCCATTCCAGTGCCAATGACTCCGCGCAGCGATTTTGTGTAGAAAATAGCTGAGCTCACAGGGTCTAGCAGGATCCTAGAACGGACCGCTGCCTCTGCCACAGCACGGACAGAGGCGTCACCTCGGCTACGGGCACTACCAATCCAGTCTTGACAGTCAAAACTACGAAGTCATATATGGCAGGCTTTGACTCACGTTACTCTGAATCCTATTTCTTCCCGACCATCCCCCGATGCACGGTACATGCAAAGCAGCAAGAGGCAAGTCTTTTCCACATTTCGAACACCTTGCAGTGCTTCTCAACCCGGTTCAAAAATGATCCCATCGCTTCATGCAGCGCATTTTCACATTTATGAGAGCAGACAGGTAGTCGTACTGTACACATCGGGCTGATACCCGAAGTTCCAAAACAGGTGCACCTGCGGTCCCAAATCCAAACCGGCGACTTCATCAGGCCGGGTAACTGTACTCGGAGAATGTACGAGTCACGATTTGTCCACGATAGTTGTACGCCTGTCGCATGTCAAGCAATGCGATTATGTGAGCGCAACGCCGGAAACTGGAAAATAAGGACGTCCGACAAGAAAGACCTTCATGTAATAAGCTAGCGGTGCGGGTGGAATCGGGCTGCCTTCGACTCCGTCACGAATTGAGTCTTGGGAGGAAGGAGTCTTGGGCGGAAGTGGGGACGAAGAGACGATAAATCCAAGCTGATTCAACGAGCGTGTAAGAGGGCAAGCATCGCAATATGCTTGATTTACTAAGTCTACTATCACGTAATCAGAATGACGTAAAGGTAATATTGATGAACTTGAAGTGCCAGTGTTCGTTCCCGTCATCGTCTTCAGCTTGAATCTAGTCACTAGCAGTGTCTAGTACGCTTCCCTTTCACGCTGCTTATACCATCTTGTGTTTTGTGATATTACCCCGAAAGATATCCGGTCTGACGGTCCTATAACGATTTTATAACGGCCCACTACTGCTGGCCGAAGTCGCCTTCTGAGACCTTTTGGTGAAAACACGGGGCTAGACTTCTCCAAGATTCAAGCTGGTGTAGTCTTTTACTCCTCATTTAGGTGCGCACTGTCTAGCCTGTTTTGTGGACATTATCGACTTATCAACACGTGTTTGTTCTTAGGCTCAGTGCGGACTTCGATGCTTGCAAACTCATTTCGTGTGCAGATTCATGCACGATCACATCACCTTGCAGCTTCAGTGTTGCGATGTGATGTCTCCGGTACCATACGCCGATCTAAGCTTCCAGCTTTCCTGTACACTGCGCGATATTCGACCTCCCGGTCGCCGGAAGTTCTTGCTAAAGCCAGGACTTCTGCTACCTACGACGATGGCATCCAAACGCGGGGCACTCAAGAAATTGGTGCTATGAGTCAAGAGCAGGTTCCAATTAGCGAACCTGGTCGCACAACTTCGACAGCGTGGGATCATGGTGCTTCAGACACGCCCACCGACACACTCTTCCTAGGCAACCTGAGCCCATGGGCGACAGTTGGCGAGCTGCGCAAAATCTTTTCTCGTTTCGGCGAGCCAGTTATTATTTTGAGTATGTATTCCCCCGTCCTCCTCCCATACCCTTCCGACCACGTCAGCAGAGGTTACGAGCGCAGGACAGAGTCGTGGCTTCGCACATCTTCAGTTCCCGAACGTGCAATATGCGAAGAAAGTGCTAGACTTCCATAAACGGTATCCGTTCATGACCGGCGGGCGACAGCTGCGCATCGTTTTCAGTACATCTACCTCCCGCGCGCGCGAGCCTTCAAGCAATATTGCGCGAGCGAGCCGTTCACTGTATGTGGGTAATGTGCCATATAACACAAAGGAGGAAGAGCTGCAGAAGCTGTTTGCGACGTACGGTGCCGTGGTGCGAGTTAATCTCAGTGAGCATTGCTCGTAAGCTATAAGTCTCGCTTGGCGTCTCTACTTATTCCACTCACGCTATACAGCTCGAGACGAGGAAAATAATCGGTGTCTTTATGCACATGTCGACTTCGAACTGCTGGAAGACACGCGAGCCATCTTAGATGCGCAGTGGACGAAGCGGTTTGAGCTTCAAGGCCGGCCGCTCTGGATTGACTACTCGCGCACGTCCTATAGGCAGCGCCGTGTGGAACAGATCTCAGCTACGGAGGACGATGATCGTGACGTGGCGAACTTCCGGAGATCATATGCGCCGAGTAGGTCTCTGTGGGTAGGCGGAATGCCACCCGATGTTATAGAAGAGGATGTCAAGAGGCTATTCAAGTACTGGAACGGATGCGAGGGTGTGAGACTAGGCAAGCGTCTCCTGGTTCATCTCCGTCCTGCTCATGGTCTGCTGACGCTTCATATGGATGCTGTGGGATCACAGTGAACAGTCGAGATGAGCGATGCAGATCGTTCGCACATGTTGACTTCATGTCTGTCCGCTTGGCGATAGAGATTATGGAGTCGCATAGGAAGACGCCCCTGAAATTGCTGGATAAACGGCCGGTCCTGCTGGACTTCGCGCCCCCTATGCTGCGCTCGGATTATCCGCCCAATTACACGCTATACTGTCCGGCCTTGATTGGCGACGAGATCGACGTGCGTACTCTTTTTGGGAGACATGCGAAAAACATCCGGGAAATCAGATTTCGTGAGCTCTTCTTCTTGAAGTCGTGGGGCCGTGTCATTGACTCGTCTGCCGTACGCTCGCCAGACCATCGGCCCTTGATCGATCCAGCGAAGAAGGCGGGGTTCATTGAATTCTTCACGACAGCGCAGGCGAGGGCTGCAAGGGACTCGTTGAATGGGAAAGTGATCAGCCCAGGATGGCATCTTAGTTTAGAATTTGCGCGGCAGTCCACGCTGCAACGAAAGAGGGCTGCAGGTGTTGTCAGCGAGTTTGGGATGCAGCCGACCGAAGAGGAGAAAGAGCAGCTGAGTGCACTGTATGATGTGATGTCTGAAAAGGAAGCGGATGGGCGACTGTGAGGGCATCGTACGTGATCAGCGATAGTGTTGCGTGTCCTTTCCTGACACATGGCGTTGACAGTGATCCACCTGCGCCGACTGCTTGGGCCGGGAGTGTATCTTCCCGTGAATATATAGTGCAAGTCGAGTCCCATCACTTGCACCTCCGCATGCCAACTCATCTCATCATAAACATACACCAGTTCATGGTACACACCTCAATAGCGTCATCACGCGATGAACGCGCGTTATAGTAGGATGGCAGGAATTCTTACCACCCTCAACTCTGTGTCTGAGTCGCTGTCTGATAATTCCTTGTGCAGTATGTGTTTCATGTTGTTGATCTCATACTGTAGCACCATTCGAGCTACCTACTGACACGATCCAGTCGCCGGATTTTGACTGCGTAACGAGCCGTCCTGTCATCTGAGTGACTGTCCTCGATTCTTGCTTACGATATTCTACCTCTCAGACTATTTGCTGCTAGAGCAGGATCTAGTCCCTGGATTTTACTTGAAACGCTGGTGATCGTAACGGCTGTTCTAGATCCTTGCTTACTACATTATACTCGTATCCCCAAGACACCCACAGTTGATGTGGGAGGTGATATGGGAGCACGCCGTTCTTGAACAATTGCGTGGCTTATTCCTACTGCCGTCCGCTACTCCGTGTAAGTTGTTGAAGGCACAAGACGGGACCAACCCTTCTACGTTGTGCCATGAGGGTCGCCGCACGAGCACCGTACATGAGCAACTGTGAATCGCAGAACAACATTCCTGCGCTCGCCAACGCCGGATCGTCCCCCCCAATATGACTCTGCGAGCTAGCTGCTGCCGAATGTCCTTCTCGATTATCGTGATTGGGGCCATTGGATAGGACTCAATAGTATATATCACGAGTGCTCTCCGTTGCGCCTTCTCTTACGCTCAGTTACGGAGAACAAGCCGGACAGCCTGGAAAGGAGGCCCTTGCTCTTCGTCTAGACCGATCCGGCCGGCTGTTTTGTACCCTAGATGCGCAGAGCTCCATCGCCCCCACATCCAGATACGCCTTCTTTGCGCTCGTATAAAATGCTCGCCCTGTCCTACCCTGGCTCCAAGCCGCCCACCTGACTGGGCAGACCCCTCTCCCCCTTTCTCTGACCCTTACGGTCACCATGACTTCCACTATCGATCCAAAGACCATCGGGAAGCCTGCCCGGACGCGTAGACATGTCAGGTCCCTCACTGGTGATTGACCCGCATCTGACCACTGACGTCCCTAAGTAACTGACGATACGCGCGATCAGGATACACCCCAGAGACGGACGAGGAAGGAAAGGAGAAATGGCCGAAGGGAGACGAGAAGGTTTGGAGAACAGCTCTGCGTGGTCTTGACACCGGTCAGTATATGCGTGCTTATCGGTTAACGACGCGGGCGCTCTCGAACCAATCTCTGCGAGGATATTGCTCCTCGCATTCATCTTTGCAAAATTGGGCTCACAAATACTTTTTAGACGTTCCTTCCATCACCAAGTCTGTCGTGAACCATGTCCAGACGTCCCTGGCCCGTCAGGCGTACAACCTGGATAACCTCGGTGCATACCAAGCTGCCGCACTCTCTGTCCGGGACAACCTCATTGTATGTGCCTTGTCTATCATTCTTGCCTTGCACCCTTCTCACTATGCTAACTCTTAGCTCAACTGGAACGATACACAAATGCATTACACGCGGAAAGCGCCAAAGCGTGCATACTACCTTTCACTTGAATTCCTCATGGGCCGCACGCTCGATAACGCACTGCTCAATCTTGGGTTGAAAGACAAGTACCAGGAAGGCGTGCACCAGCTCGGGTTCAACCTCGAAGATATCCTCGAGCAGGAGCGTGACGCTGCGCTTGGGAACGGAGGCCTGGGCCGCCTGGCAGCGTGCTACCTAGACTCGTCTGCGTCGCAGGAGCTGCCCGTGTGGGGGTACGGGCTGCGGTACAAGTACGGTATCTTCCAGCAGCTCATCGGTCCCGACGGAAGCCAGCTCGAGGCGCCCGACCCGTGGCTCCAGCAAGGTGATAACCCATGGGAGCTCCCCCGTCTCGACGTTACGTACGAGGTGCGCTTCTACGGGCATGCGGAGCGTCTCGATGGCATGAAGGCTATCTGGAGCGGTGGGCAGGAGGTGGTGGCGATGGCATATGACACGATGATCCCCGGTTACGACACGAAGAGCACGAATAACCTCCGGTTGTGGGAGAGTAAGCCAAAGCGTGGATTCGACTTGCAGAGCTTCAACGGTGCGTGCGGTACCCAACGGTTCCTACACACATCTGCTAAGCAATAATCTCTGCAGCGGGTGACTACGAACGCGCTGTGGAATCGTCGAACAGTGCGGAGGCGATCACCTCTGTCCTCTATCCGAATGACCACACTACTTGTGAGTGCTTCGGCCACATAACAAATGTATTTTATGCGAGCGCTCGTAGTCGGAAAGGAACTCCGGCTCAAGCAGCAGTACTTCTGGACTGCTGCCAGCTTGGCCGACATCATGCGTCGCTTCAAAAACTTGGGCAAGCCGATTACAGAATTCCCCGATTGTACGTTCACCTTTGCATTAAGTGCCGCGCATGCTCCTTATGGCACCCTACAGACGTGGCAATTCAGTTGAATGACGTGCGTGGCGCGATGCCTAGTGTGCACTGCAGAAGGATGCTGATTTGTTTGACACTAGACTCACCCGACGCTGGCGATCCCAGAGCTGATGCGCATTTTTATCGATGAGGAGGACGTCCCATGGGATGCTGCGTGGCAGCTTGTCACGAACACGTTCTTCTTCACGAACCATACCGTCTTACCAGTAAGCCAACACTTACATGGTAGTGCGTTGCAGCTGACGCGCATACGATCTCACAGGAAGCACTAGAGGTCAGAAGCGCTGAACTCTTGCGTAGAGGCCTTGCTCATTGCTCTCATTTGTGCAGAAATGGCCCGTTCCTTTGATGCAGTCGTTGCTTCCTCGGTATGGGTATCGTCTCGATACATAGTATCCTGTGACTAATACAGCGTGTGCGTAGGCACATGCAGATTATCTTTGATATTGTAAGCCTGTTATCACTGTCTGCTTTCGTCTGACTCACCGTGTTTGAACAGAACTTGTAAGATCTCAAATGGATGACTGACATCTTGCTAACACGCTCTATGCACCACCCAGGATCTTCCTGCAATGTGGGCCGTCTTGTCGTTCAGGTTATGACATCTTCGTTAAAGCACTATCTCCATGTAGCTGTGGAGAAGAAGTTCCCCGGGGATCGCGACAAGTTCGCGAGGATGTCCCTCATTGAAGGTCTGCTTTGATGTCGCTTCACGGTTGACGCGACATTTACGCGAGCTGCAGAGGGATACCCTCAGCAAGTGCGCATGGCAAACTTGGCGTGCATCGGTCAGTCTGGGACATCCGTACGCCATGGTCTTACTCATATCTCACTCCACTCTAGGAAGTAGAAAAGTGAACGGTGTGGCCGAGGTGAGCCAATTTGGAGCTGGGATCTCTTCACTGTACCCAAAATATTGTTTTAGCTGCACAGTGAGCTGGTCAGGACGACTATCATGAAGGACTTTGTGGATTACTATGGTATCAGCAAGTACGAATCTTGCCTGCCGGATGGCGACGTTTTTACTGATTATGTTTTGCAGGTTCGCTAATGTCACTAACGGCAGTATGTATAAGGTTGCGGAGGTCATTGCTGGTATTTAACTCAGTTTTTGCTCTTTCAGTTACACCGCGTCGTTGGCTTGATCAGGTACGCTCCAATTCTAGCTACATTGCTGCCGACATCTTGAACATTGACTTTGTCGCCGCAGTGTAACCCTGGCCTCAGCAAGCTCATCAGCGAGACACTCAAGCTGCCCAAGGCCGCATTCTTGAAAGATCTTTTCAAGCTTGAGGTGAGCGGAGCTATTTACTCAATACGTGCTTTTGGGAGTTACTCACCGGATCGTCCGATTGCAGGGATTGCTCAAGTTCGTCGACGACCCGATCTTCCAAAAGAAATGGGCAGCCATCAAGCAGAGCAACAAGGAGCGCCTCGCGCATTATGTGGAGACAACGTTAGGTCTGAAGATTAACACGCATGCCATGTTCGATGTGCAGATCAAGGTCAGCGCGTTGCATCGGTATCCATATTTCTCGCACTAATACGGTGCCGTAGCGTCTCCATGAGTATAAGGTTCGCTTTCACTGTCTTGAGAGTTTCTTCAGCTTACGGGATCCGGTGCAGCGTCAAACACTCAACATCATGGGTGTCATCCACGTAGGCTATCCTGCTATCATCTAATATCCCGGCATTTATTCAACTTCTTGCGCGCAGAGGTATCTCACGTTGAAAGATATGACCCCCGAGCAGCGTAAGACTGTTAATCCCAAGGTTGTCTTCTTCGCTGGCAAGGCTGCTCCAGGATGTACGTTGTACGCTTTTTTGACCAATTCCATACTCATCAGAACATCCAGACTACATTGCTAAACTGGTGAAAATTGCGTTTGTAGCGCGTTCGATCAGCATACTCATGCTTTCTCCCAGACTATCCGCCTTATCGTCAATGCTGCGCGCATCATTAACTCCGACCCCGAGACGAAGGATATCCTACAGCTCTATTTCCTTCCAGACTACTCGGTCTCGCTCGCAGAGGTCCTCATCCCCGCATCCGATATCAGCCAGCACATCTCAACGGCAGGTACGGAAGCTTCGGGCACGTCCAACATGAAGTTCTGTTTGAATGGCGGTCTGCTTGTTGGCACTGTGGGTGAGTGATACCCATCGCCGAAGTGCAAGTGATTCGTACTCACGTTCACATTAGATGGAGCAAACATCGAAATCGCGGAGGAAGTGGGCGAGAACAATGTCTGTGAGTAGCCGCTGCTCTCCCGGGTGTATGTGAGACAAGCAATGTTGATCTTATGCTCTAGTCTTCTTCGGACATCTCACTCCTGCGGTTGAGGATCTGCGCTACCAGCACATGTACCATGCTGTGCCGATTGAACAGAAGTGTCCGCCATTGGCCCGAGTATTGAACGAGGTCTCAGCAGGCCGCTTCGGCGATGGTAGTGTTTACGAGCCGTGAGTTTGTCTCTCTAGCTCAGTGGTCACTGCATCCACTGACACGTCCTCTTCAGACTGCTCAACACCATCCGTCAACACGATTACTACCTCCTGACGGAGGACTTTGATTCATGTAAATACGTCCTTTCTTAGGCCAGATCAAAGCTGATCTAGCTCACCCTTTCCAGACATCCAAGCACTCCAGCTGGTTGACGAAGCTTACCAAGATCGCACGGAGTGGATCAAGAAGAGCATCAGGACCTCCGCCAAGGTTCGCTCGCGATTGCCATACTGATTTAGTTCTACACTAACTTGAACGCATAGATGGGCAAATTCAGCTCTGACCGCGCAATCCAAGACTACGCCCAGGAGTATTGGAACATTGAAAGCACAAAGCCCGAGTGAGCTGCTAGCGGCTTACGCGGTCCATTGTAGGATACGGAGAAGCAAAATAATCGCTGTAGCGTCCTGAGCATGTATACTAGAATGATTGTAAATGTTGTTAGCTCGCAAGAATTGTAGGAATACGTAACGACTGCACGCCAGCTAATGACACAGCACAACAAGGTATCGAGCGCATAAAAGTGATCATGACAGCAGGAAAGTAAGTACGGGAACGGGTATCAATCGCCTAGCAGAATATATACGGAACCAAAAACCTCCATCACGAACGAAAAATAGTCTGGACGCTCACTCCCCTCGCATGGCTCAATAAGATCGAATTATGCTCAAAAGCAGGCCAGATTCGGTGCATTTAAATCAGTTGGTTATCTCGACTTCGTCCTCGCTGACTTGCGCTACTGTCTGCCCAGCTTCTGCCAGACGTAAGTGTGTATAATGCCAGTAAAGTAAAGCTCAACTCACCTTCGCCTAGCGCGGTTGCTGGCTCATATATTGCACCTTCGGAATTTTCCTCCTGGGGCACACTGCTCTCTTCACGATCCCCCTCGACAGCCTCATCTTGCTCATCTGGTGATGTCGAAGGCACACCGTCAACTACGACCTCCTCTTCATGACTCTCGGCGGCGGCGGGGATTTGAACGAATGTTTGTTCCACTTTTGGGGTGGTTGCTTCAGTAGATGAGTCGTCAATTATTGGACTAATATGTGTTTCAGGCATAGCATCCCGTACGACCTACAACGACAACCTCAGAGAGATAACGCAAGACGACTGTGTTAATACATACGATATGCTCTGGTTCCGTAGTCCCAGACTCCGCCTCCATTGAGGGCTGTTCTTCGTGGTCGACTTTCTCATGCTCATCAGGAACTGTTGCATCATACTGCGCAGGGGCGTTCGTAACGGTGGCCTGGGACACGACTTCAACCTCTGATACAGGCGTAATAGCGTTGTGCTCGGCTTGCAGCACTGCCGTAGATGAGACTTTCGTGGCTTCAGATTCGGGACCAGACGCCGTAATGGGTTCACTTGTAAGAGCGCCACCAATCTTGTCGAGTGGGTTGCTGGAGCTCGAGGTGGACTCGGAAATCTCAAGGACAGTGGATGGAGCGGGCACGTCTGTGTCCGCCGACTGGGTTGACAGGGCTGCATCTTGAGAGGCCTCAGCAAGCGCCGCAGGTTCACTAGTACTTAAGGCAATCTGAGGCCCAGGCGTATCTCCCGCAAGAACCACAGGTTCGGGGGCAGGGGGTAGCGGCTTGGATTCAGAGACATCCCCTGTGTTCTCGTTCACAGTAGGAGGGTCAGTAGGGACAGTAATATCTTGTGGGACCGAGATACACGGCTTGTCTGACGCAAGCTCCTCCGTCTTGATCGAAACAGGTACCCCATTGTCTCGGGGCTCAGCATCTACGACAGGAACAGGGGGCAGATCCGACGTCTTGATCTGTGCAGCATGGGCCATATCGAAATCCGACGCCATACTGATGGCAGCAACCGCAGCAACAGCATCAGTCTTATGACTCTCGTCCGTGGGATCTTCGATGTTGGGCTGATCTGTGTGCAAATGGCCTATCTTCCCTTCTGGCACTTCTGGCAGAATCTCACCCATCTCCCCGACTCGTCCAGATTTTGCAGCATTCTTTGCGGGAACCTTCGAATCCAGGGTGCCGGGAATGGTCTGAGTAGAAGAGAAGAACGTGAAGCGCTTCCGTGCAGCGGAAAATGTGGAGCTTTTGCGTGACGACATATTGGAGCGCACGGAAGGTCTCGGCGAAGATGGACGACGGGGAATAGGTGGCGACGCAGGCATAGGTTCGGGGGGAGGAGGCGGGCGAGAGAACGTCTGTTCTAGCACAAGCCAGGTTATCGCCTTGCCGTTCGCCTCGACCCCAGGAAGCGGTTTCAGTTGGCAAACGACGAAGCTGGGGAAGGACGACGAAATGGGGTCGAGCAGTGCGTCACTCCAGAAATCGAAGAACGCCTCATCGAGCTGGATCAGATCGATACGCGTACAATTCAATGGCAACGTGGGCGGGAGGGCGGCAGGTCCCTTGATCGATGATCGACGGCTGGGAGTCGGGGAGGTCTTGCGCCGTTTGCTTGTCTTGTGTGAGACCGACGGTGGCTGCGTAACCTCCAAATCATTGTCGAGCAACGTCTTCGCAAAGTCCTTGCCCAGCGCGCTCTCTCCAAAGCCCGTGCTGGAAAAGTCCTGCCAGTCTTTGGGGACAAGATTGTCCGACGATGTCGCAGCTCGCGACCCGCCAAACCCATTCTGGCCCAACTTGCCATTCTGTGCGGAATTGAGGGACGTCGAGCGACGCCGGACGGGTCGAGAGAAAGTCGCGCGCAGTGGACTAGCTAAATCAGTGGGGGATGGCACATAGTCAGCATTTGCGGCAGGGATCAGCGAAAGCAATCGAATTGTGTCATCAGCAAACACCTTCGACAATGTCAGATATGCCTGGCCATTCTCATCGGTTCCTTCCGAGGAACCGTCGCGGGCAGACGCTGCCTGCCTGATCGTGTTCCACATATCGACATGCTCGCCAATCTGCAGATTCGCCTCCAACCTCATGGCGTCGGCTACTACACGGAGTGGGTGCGGCTTCGGCTTCAGCGTTGTGAAGTCTGGAAGTTTGGCCTCAACTCGAACATAGATCGCGTCATACCGGCGTGTAGACAAGCGTGGCCTTGGGAGCAAGCTGTCCTCGGTTTGGTCATTTTTACTATAAGGATAGCCAGCAACCAATTCCGAGAGACGCAGCGGCATTTTCTTGCGCATCATTTCGTCCCTTGGAAGTCATAATTACGACGACTGGCAACGCAACACAAAACATCACGTACCTGATTTGCGCTAGGAATACATGTTCAAATATCCTTCCGGCCCGTTCCCAGCGCGCGTAGAACGTTGCCCAGTCATCTTCGCTCTCGGTTCTGTGTGCAGCCAACATCCACAGTCCTAAAATCTTAGACAATTTGCTGCCAGAAATACCATTGCGCTCGGAATGGGCTGCAAGCGATGAGACGATCTCCAGCGTGGCAACAAGAAGCTGGAGATGTGCGGGTGGGAGCTTGGGGACGAGAATCTGTGAGAAGGCGTTGTCGGGATACGATGACGACCGCTCAGCATCGGCGAAGCTATAATACCATTGCCACTGGTCAGTGCTGCTACCTCCAGTAAAAGAGTCGCCTTCCAAATGCAGGTGACGGAGTGCCCATCGCAGGACAGAGGCAATGTCATGGGGCGAGCGAGCATACTCGAGCTCGGTATTGAAAATAGTCGAAGGAGATGTGGGAGTAGGAGAGAGCGTGGTTATAGGGCTTTTGGGGGCCAAGGATAAAATAAAAAGGGAAATGAGCCTCCGCTGGGTCTCGGGTGAGGCGGAGTACCAGTGTGGGTGCATAACACCCAGCGTCTCTAAACCTATGCGAACTAGTGAGCGAAAAGCTTGTCGTTAGCTTCACGACTCACCTCCGCGGTTGACAATGGCAGAAGAACATGTTTTGACGAGAAAGAGCGCCTCTAGGGGACTCAGCTGTCTCTCGCCAACCACATTGTCAGAGAGCAAGCTCCGATCTTCTGGATCCGCTTCGAACACAACGCCTAAAGCGCGACTCTTCTCCTCCTTAGGAACAGGTAGGTTGAGGGTCAGATGGGGAGTATTCGCAGCAGGCTTTGACGCGTCGACGTTAGGAGAGACAGGGCGTGTCCGGGTCTTCAGGAGAGAGAACCCGCCACTCTTATCCTTGTCCTTTTCCTTCTCTTTAACCTTACCATTGCCGTGGAGTGCAGTGTCAGGGAAGTGTGTGGCAGAGGGGGACACATTTGGCGACACAGCCTCGAACTTGCCCTCGAGTAACGAAGCGGCAGAGGACCGCTTGGTGGGACGAGACGATTCCTTCTCCTCCTTTTTGCGGGCGAAGACTTTGGAGAGGAAGGACGGCATGGCGTGTCAGCTAGACGTGGTGCGGATGGAAGGAGTTGTAGAGGTTCATGCAGCCCTGTCAGGAAATCCGAACAATCCGTCGTCGAAGTGCGCGACGACGAACAAGAGGGGTTCTCGCAGTCGGGTGGAGGCGACGGATAGGTCCATTTTTGGAAAGAAGAAATATACTTTGTCTCAAATGGGCGCCTGTCTCCTAAACCAAATTAATACAGCTTTCGCCAGCAAGATAGGGATCTATTTAACCCTTCAAGAAAACCAAAGGAGAATAAGTGACAGGGTGCACTCCATGAGGGCTTCCAAAATGGCTACAATAGATTATAATGAACACGAGCTACTACAGAGATAAATTCCAACCGCACTAGAAAAAGCACACAAACACCGTACCAACCTCATCCAGCTGCCACCATTATTATAATCGCTTCAGAGCCTTCTTCCGCTTCTCTCCCGTACCCGTACCTGCCGCAGCCCTCTTCACCGCCTTCGCTCCCGAGTCTACACTCACTGCTAGGGCCACGTTCGAATCTGCTGTTCCTAACGGTGATGGTGATGTTAGCCGTTCTTTCACCGTACCCTTGTCGCCGGAGAGGGTCTGCACCGAAGGTGTGGTACTCAGAGCATTTGGCATTGACGTTTGTAATGGAAGCGTCGGCGCTGGGATGGCTTTTTGCTGCGTCGATGGATTTGAAGAAACAATAGGGTTTGATGTGACGCGCGCGGCTGGCGGAACCGAAGGAGCCGCCACAACGGATAAGGATGCCGATGGCTCCGCAGACAGAGGACTTGCTACTGGTGCGGTGAATTCTGCAGGGCGCACCCTGGGTGTTGCATGAACACTCGTGATCAGTTTCGCCCGCTCACAATAGCTGTCGTAGTTCTCCAGGAGCAGTTTGCCTGCTTCTTCATCCAATGCGGATTCGGGATTGGGATAAATCAACAGGCATTTGACAGTGACAAGGATGTGGCCAATTCCATATGACGACTTCCAATCCTTCTTGAGCGTGTTAACGCAGATTTCCCCCGCAGAGGAAACGTTAGGATGGAATATTTTGGTGATAAAACGGCCTGAGAAGAGTATGAGCGCGGATAATAGAAGACGAAAGAAAACCTACATTTTGGTGGCGCAGCCGGAAACTCTTCTGTGAAAGCGAACTTGATCCTGAAGTAGCCACCAGCATAAGGAGTTCCCTCTACCCAAGATTGAAGTCAATGTGAGCCACGGAAATCGCTGAATAGTGAGAGCAACAGAATCATGAGAGAAAGTAAACCAAACTACCAACGTATTCTAGACCCCCGTATTTAGCACAAAAACAGACTACACGAACTGAGCATTCCGTAAGAAACGCGCAAAGGAGCAACACTCGCCACCGCCGCAAAGCTATCCGCTCACCGTGTCGAGTGCTCCTCCTTCATTACGCATGGAGGGGTATAGATGAACAAGTTGTCTCAACGCTCGACAGCACAAAGAGAACGCGACCAGGTGGACGAGACATGAGGAACCTTTCGATCCAACGAGGCAGGGCACTGAGAAGATCAATCATGCATCAGCAATACCCAGATTCCCCTACAGCTGTTGGCATGACCGGTCGCACCGTGCCAGACACAAGGTGCCCTGGAAGCCCGCCCAAATGACCCGGCTGACTAGGGGAGGAGCCACTGCCACAAGCAGCGGAATCCCTTACGCGTACAGTAGACACAGAACGACATTTACCTGGTCCCTCAATGATTCCAATCACGTCTAGCATGTTATCATCGCTGGTGACGACGCGTATTCCCTCTGGCGGGTTCGTTTGGAGCTCGGTGAGCTCGCGCATGAGGCGACGAAGCACGGCGGGTGTGACAGACTACGAGGGGACCAGCGTAAGTAAAGTTTGACGCGATGTATATTGGCGCATACCATCGGGAGAAGAGGTTTGAATATGTGCAGCAAGGAGTGGTGGCAAGAAGTGGTGGCAAGTTGAAAGCTGCAAGTTGAAGTACAAAGTCACGACCAACCTAATGAGTCTCCCCCGATTCATCTCCGCTAGCCTCGGTCACGTTTTTTCTGTCACGCTGTGTACTTAATGGGCGCTTACGCACTTAGCCATCTCGGGCGTTCACTTCTCGAAGTTCACTGGCGACTCGTGAATCGAACAAAGTACCAAGTTCCTTAGTGGTGCTTGTATCATTCAAGTGGTTTCCTCAAGCTTCCTCCGCGCGGCCACTGTGTAGGTCGAATGCTATCCTTGGGCACATTCTTTGAATCAAAATCGATAAATCTACACACTATAGTTGATGTAATACAGGTGTGATATTATTGTGTGCCTACCATACACAAGAATGAAACAATGTATATACAGTGATTCTAGCAGAGAATATCAAGAAGCGATTCGATACCGTGATCAGATGTACATCACCGCATTTCGAAGACAAAATGCGTCACAAGCCAAAATAATGCGCGATGGACGTCTTCAAAGCACAGAATCGGAACCAAGCCGCATTCTTGTGCCAGTCAAGGCACGGTTCGCATAGTATGGATTCAAACAACTCATCCCGTTGGCTGACCATCTGCGCCAGTTCGCGCAGCAGCCAACAATTTAGAGGCGAGTGAGGATCCGAAACGACCTTGGCGCGCCAATATCGTTGCAGAGCATCACGACATGACGCACATGCCTCATAAGGGGGGGAATTCGGGTGCAGGGCGAGTGGATCAGCCAGTATCCGACAACGAAAGTTGTCCAAACGCTCTCGCCCAACGAGGAGACGACGCATGTCGGTGGCAGACAGTACGACATGTGCCCGTCCGCCATCGGCATTGTAGCACCACCGCTGCACGGAAAGCACGTAGAATGCGGCCGGAAGGATGTCTGGAACCTCGCATTCGCGCGCAAGTGCGATTCCCTCTAATGAAAGTGTGGCGTTCAAGTCGGAGCGAACGAAACGTAATAATTTATCTTACCAGCAGCACAAGGTAGGGACATTGTATCCATGCGCTCAAGGTCAGACGGCCAGCGAGCTCGTAGGCAGCGTATTGCCCACTCACGGAGAGCACCGATCTCGTACTTCGTTGCTATCCGGAGCGCGCTAGGAAGGAGAGAGAAGGGCACAGGGTGTGGCATGGAGTTAAATGATCTAATATCGATAATGAGGAACACATAGGGAGTGCCAAGTGGATGCGCACTTACGAAGGGTCATACATCCAGCGCAACGCAGTATGCCAGTCTTGCGCAGAGTCTGGGAGCTGCACGAGCGGGCAGTCATCGACACTTTCCATAATCTGAGGTTGTGGGATCTCCAGCATATCAGAGAATATGTCTGAGCATTTCAGTCGTGAACGGTGGATCTTGAACATGTGCCCCTCGATCTCCAGGACAATGTCGCCGTCCTCGAACCAGAAGTTTGAGTTGCTCAACCGGTGGGCATCCGCGTTCTCTGGCCGCTTCTGACGTTTCGTTGGAGGAAAAATGTGATCCTCGTGACGTGGGACGTCCATTCCAGAAGCTTGAGAGTAAGTCCTAGAAGTCATAGACTGAGACAAGACAGTCCGAGGCAGTGTAAACGCCACAACTCACGCGTTCGACGCGTCGAGGAACGGTCACGCGATTGGCCGAAAAACTCGGGCCTGCTTTCGTGATTAAATGGTCGTGACAGTGCATTGTGGGTGCACTGTGCAGGGCGACTTGAAATGGAGACCATCAAATTTCAAACCTTGCTGCCGTCCAACAGACAAACGATGCGTACCCCTCTTGGCGATATACTGATTTAGAATTTGGCTGGTGATTTCGCAGATAATCTACATTCACCAGGGTTATTCTGGCTATCGCCAAGTCGCTTGCGATACAAGTGAGATACATGCAAGCATGATGAAGTTGCGATGAAAGTACCAAAGAGACGGGCAGCAACGAATACAACTCGACCTGAAAGATTTTATACAACAGCACGTTATACACCAGTATGGCAATATCAGCTAGCATCGACACACTACTTCTTCTTCTTGGGTTTTTTCTTCTTCACACCGCCACCTGCCACTCCCGTAGTCCCAGCTGGTGTCGCTGAAGATACAGCTTCAGGAACTGGTGTGGCCCCACGCTCAGCTTCCGTGGGGACGGGTAAGTTGCGCCGCAGTCGTTGGTTCTGCATCTTCTGCATAAGGGAGAGATTCAAAGCCTCAAACCGGTTGAGGAAGACGGAGGAAAACGTCTTAAATTTGAGACACTGAGGCAGAAAACGTTCTAGTCATGACTCTCAAAACATAGATTTTATGGACCCACTGTCGTATCATCGGTGATCTTTAACACCAATTTCCCCTCCGATGCTCTCCATTTCACACAATAGCGGGTCTGCGGGATAGCCAATTGGTGGGGAGTCAGTGTTAAAAACATAGAACACGCACCGTGTTGGGCGATTTTTCATACAGAGCCTCAGCCGCGTCTTGAAACTCCTGCCAGGACGCGATGAACACCATGGCATGAGGACCGGAAGGATACGGAGCGCGTGACCACGATGGCGATATGTCACACGGCCGCGAAATGATGTCACGTCTCGTGACATGCGGACGTAGCAGGACATAACGCGCCTCGGGTCGCGCTAGCGTCTGAAACTGGCACAAGCTCCGCGAGTGAGAGTGGGGTAAAACCATCTCTGTCTCCCGTTTATCTCCGCGTACAGCTTGTGCCAGACCCCCTTGTAGGACCTCATCAACATGGCGAGCAGCGAGAGAAAACGTGCGGTCAGGTTCCTCAGACACTCTGCAGCGCATGCTGAAACCATGACGCGCGACAGCTTTGCCCTTTATTGCGAATTTCACGGCAGGAGCCATTGCTGGAATATCCGAGATTCTCACCTTCTACCCTCTCGGTGAGCCTAGCATTTCTCATGAATAATATCAAGGTGATAATGCTGTATGCAAACGTTCGAAGATGTCGTGAGTCTCGTCCCTGCATATATGCATTGGATATCATACCAATCTTATGTTTCGCCGCGAACAGGTCAAGACTCGCATGCAGCTTGAAACAGGAAAATCACAACATGGTCTTATAGGGAGCTTTCAGTCGATCATTAAAGAAGAAGGGTGCGTATGAGTGATCACGCGACTGCGCTATACAACGCATTCTGCTGATTCCAATGTGCCTCGGCAGCTTCGGGCGCCTCTACAGAGGACTGGTTCCGCCATTACTACTCGAAGCACCCAAGCGTGCGACTAAGTTGTATGTTCTGTAAACCACTGACTCAGATCGACCTCTGCTTATGGTCGTATGCAGCGCTGCTAATGACTTCTGGGGAAAGACGTATCTCAAGCTTACTGGCGAGTCGAAGATGACCCAACAATTATCCATCCTCACGGGTTGCAGTGCTGGTGCCACCGAAAGCTTCGTCGTAGTACCATTCGAGTTGGTTAAAATCAAGTATGTCGTATTGTCCTACATGTCTTGTCTCTTTCAACTACTGGCATGATTGTGCATTATTAGACTCCAAGATAAGATGAGCACATATTCCGGACCAATGGAGGTGGTCAGACAGGTTATCCGAAAAGAAGGTGTACTCGGGCTCTACGTGGGTATGGAAGCCACTTTCTGGAGACACTTCTGGTGGAATGGAGGATACTTCGGGTGTATATTCCAAGTTCGTGGGCTGTTGCCCAAAGCCGAGGTAAGCAACGTGGATTGCGCCATAAAGATGGTGCATTTGACGACGCGTTCCATAGTCCGCGCAGGCGCGGTTGATGAACGACCTCATCGCCGGGACTGTTGGTGGATTTGTTGGGACAGCGATCAACACACCGTACGTAAATGTATAGCTTCATTTTGCTATCGATCGTCTAAAGCTTCACGCAACAACTGCAGGTTTGATGTAAGTACTAGGTAGTCCTCTTAACAGTGTCATGTGCTGAAAGCAGCCTACGTTCTCAGGTCGTGAAATCGCGAATTCAAGGCTCCACAAAGCAAGCCGGTGTGGTTCCCAAGTATAATTGGACATACCCTGCGTATGTATCATTTTCATTATGCGTACATTCTCATTGTCTCTACTCACTGTACTGACGTCTGCGGCTTGTATTACAAAGACTGGTTACTATCTTCCGAGAAGAAGGTCCCGCAGCGTTGTACAAAGGATTTGTGCCCAAAGTTTTGCGACTTGCACCAGGCGGCGGTGTCCTCTTGCTCGTAGTTGAGGTGACATTGAATCTCTTCCGGCAGGGTCAGTACTACATATCGTTTTAATAACTCAACTCCACGTGCTAACTGTTTATGGCATTAGCACTGGGTCCGCCGTATCTATAAGGAATCTGCGTTAAGATCCTGTCTGTAGATGGGGTGTTGTCGCACTGCTGTTATATGGCGTAGGTATGAAGGTTGCGTGGGAGAGATGAATGAATGAATAAATAGACGTTTTAACTGGCACAATTTTGTTGAGCATGCATTCACTTGAGCTACTGTAGTGGTGTCAACTGGCCAGTCAACCACGGCAACAGTTTTTCAGGTGGCATGCCCCGTACACACTTCGTCTGTCCACTGCGCGCTCCCAGATCTCGGGCCCGTATCGGTATATGCCTGTTTAGCGCCATTTCCGGAATCGCGTTAAACAGAGCCAATGCGGAACGGCGCAATGACAGATGCACGCTTCATCATTTCACGACATCAAGTGTTGCTATTTTCAAGCTCGTATTTAGGATCCTAGTGCGTACATGTTGAATCCATCGGTCTGTTGACCGGACATATGACTCAGAATTCGCACCACTTCCGAAGCCAGGCCAACAGCGTTCTTCGTATACCCTAATATGGCCGAACAAGCTGGCGCTACGGCTGATCCTACTGATGAAATTTCAAAGCGATGGGCAGATTGTGCTGAAAAAATCTGGAAGCATGAGAAAGACATTGCTGACGAACAGAAGGAAGAAATTGGGAACCTGCTGTTGTTTGTTCGTATCTTTCCTCACATCAACTCTACAGGACGGTAGCACTCATAAAACCTCTGATTTTAGGCTGGTCTGTTCTCCGCAGTGCTTACAACGTTCGTGTTTCCATACTACCAGTCACTGCAGTCGCCACCGCCATCCGATGCTACTGCACAGATCCTTCTGCTTCTCTCTGTGCAGTTGGACATTATTGCAGCGCATACTGGTGTACAGGACGTTGTCTCGCCAGTATTGACGACGATATCAAACTCTTCGTCGACGCCTCCCACTCATACGTCTGCCTTCGTTATTAATGGGTTATGGTTCTCTGCACTGGTCTTCAGTCTCGGGGCGGCTTCTATTTCCATTTCGGTGGCTCAGTGGCTCAATCACTATAGTGCACGTCCGACGGGGTCTTCTCAGCAGAGTATCAGAGTATGGAATATCCGTCATAAGGCTCTACTCAAGTACCGAATCCCACAAATAATCAGCGTCTTGCCTGTCCTATTACAGATCGCGCTCACTCTGTTTCTCGTCGGTCTGGTTATTCTAATATGGCCCTTCAGTCATGTTGTTGCAGCGGTTGTACTGGCGCTTGTCGTGTTATTGTTACTTATCTCCATCGGGACCGCACTCATTCCAGCTTTCTTATCCGCCTGCCCGTTCAAGTCGGCCGAGGCATGGTGCTTCTACGAAGCGTGGCGTTTATTCAAGCTGATCTTTCGTTCCGCTGCCGGTATTGCGAACAGTGTGTACATCATTTTTCTCAGCATTCATGTCATCTGACCATCCTGTAAAGAGTTGTTCCATTCCAATCACCTGTTTCAATGGTTAAGGAATTTCGATGCTTCTTGGAAAATCAAGGACTGGAGAGAGTTTGAGCTTGCATATCTACATTCGCTGAGGGAGAGCGATCAAGACAGCATGAAGATGCTTGCACGATTGGATACAACCCTTCTGGACGACTCCTTTTTAGCATCAACTCTAAGGCCGTTGTTGAACAGCGCTCCCATTATCAGTATACTTCCTGCTTATTACGAAATCTCCACAAACAGGGATCACGCAGCAGTTGTCAAAAATAATTTTCCGGGCGCAAATTGGCCTACTAATGAGGATTACATCCAATCTATCACCGCAATGGCACATCTATCCGTCGACATGCTATCGAAACTCACACCCGAATGTGGACCAGATTCTACCGAAAATATTGTTCTTTATTTACATCGAGATCTCAGTTTGATGCCGAAGACACAACCCACAGTCTTCCGTCGTCTTCTTGGCATATTATCGGGTCCTGGTGTCTCCATGTCGTGGCACTATATGAGCATCTTGCGAGAGACAAGCTTTTTCGCACGTCGCTTTGATCTCGAACGTGATGGTATGCAGCCTCTTTTCATTTGCGGTGAAGCTCATCACATACCGCATCTACTCGCCAGATGTTGTCAAAATGGTGTCATGTGTGCCCCATTTTCCTCAGAGTATTATGGAAGGGAGACTGTTCCAATACATCGGAGCGATAATATATAGCGCAATTCACCTGCCTCCGCAAGATGATCATCAGCTTCACGATGGGTTGCAACAGACACTAGTCGCGATGGCCGATCGACTCCAACAGGTACCCCCAGAACAAAAGCACACCTATGATATAATGAGAGAATTCTCCCAGCTTCTGGGTGAATGTATTTCGTTGGCACGGCTCGATAGCACACTGTTTAAGGGAAATGTCGTCAATGCATTGGAAAGCTTCGCGTCAAGATGCAACACTTCCAGCGCACTTTACTCCACAATTCGTAGTAACATGGACAAACTACGACAGGTGGTGGTAACCAGTAAGCCATCCGCTTTGCTCCACTACATTGAGGCGACACTGAAATTTCTTGCAATAGATGGGGTCGCCATCTGACAACAAAAAGAACGATTTCTTCTGCTTACTGTCCTAGACTTCCGATGCCTCTGACATATCGCACACTATATTCATTGGAGATTGTAGCCCGCCATTACACCATCATGTAACTACTTTGGTCAAAATTTGTGATAGGTAAGAATCCAGGGGGTAATTTGACAGGAGGATCCGATTCCTAGAACTCCATGCTCAGCACGACAAATAGATTTACCCAAATTGTAAACACGCACAATCTGCGGTTGGATCGGGTTCCCCGTTTTGTGCAGTTCGTCGAGGCCGTGTTGTATTGTAGAATACAGGGAGATATAGTTCATACGTTTTGAAGCGAAACGGGACAATGACGTAGTCAGGTCGGCAGTGATCAGTCCCGGATACGAACGCGCCAAGGGTATGACCTCGTCCACGAGAACTGACAGCGATCGTAAGCTGCGCTGAACCTCTGCATCCGACTCTTCAGACTTGGTACTAGATTCGTCCATGGCTGCTTGGACGCTCTTCATCACGGCTGATAGTGTACGGCGGACATCGTCTAAAAAGGCCTTAGAATCAAACAAACGCAATTTGCCTGCGAGATGTAGCATTGCCCTTAGTAGTTGGAAGAGCGCCGAAAGCTCAACCTCTCGTGCAAAAGACGTTATCTGTGTAATCATTTCGTGTACATCTACAGAGGTCATGAGTGGGTGACTTAGAAGTTGGCGTGATCAGCTACACACCAGGGCCTTTAAGCTCAAATTTGCTTGAGAAGTAACTGATTTCCGTGAATATCTCACTCCGGACTCGTCGTGATATATCGGGTAGTCCAGATTTCTGGACCAGTCCTTGATAGGTTTCGGGCTGCGTACTCGGCATTGCGTCAAGTAAATGATGAAGGATGTCCAAAATGCGAAGCTGATGTGTATCGACATCTGACATATCAGATCCAGCAATCTTCGATAGAACGTCAAGAGACATATTCCCTAGAACAACCACAGACTGATCATCCATTTCGCTACGCCGCCAATCCAGCACAGGAGGATTAGAGTCATCAATTGAATGTGCTCGATGTTCCATGATGACGTGGTATGCAGAAAGAACGTTGGCAGGGTCGCTGCATTGAAGAAGTACGCGTCTCATAGTTGTCTCAAGAAAGCTGTTATCGAGCGTCACTGCATCAACATCCACAAGCATTGTGAGATCCTCTGGATCATCCATCTTGGATGTCTTGAGAGCAAATGACTCGAATTGTCGCCAATTCTTGACCTTCAATGAGGCATCCAACACTTTTAGTAGCTGATAAATAGAGTGTGAATGTAATTTGGCTATATCATGGGACATATAAACAGAGAACACAGGATCACAGGATTTTGTGCACTCACTGTTGATGGCCTCTGCGACAAATCGAAGCAAGGCTTTGGCGTTTTGTATTATATGGAACCAGCACCAAGCTTCAGAAGACTTGTACGCACAATCAGCCGCAAACGCAGGAATAATCGCCGTGCCCACAGAAATCGCCAGCGCTAAGCTGACTAGGGCTGTTGCGATAATGCCGATGGTAAGGTCAAATGGCCAGAGGAAGATCACCAATCCTATAAGAAATAGGGCAAGTGATATCTGCAAGAGGACGGGTGGTACTCCGATGACTGATGGGACACGCCACTTGACAAGACCTCGACGACGAAAATGCCAGATGCGAACGCTCTGGCGGGAAGGGACGACCGGCTGCCTCCGGTGGAAATTCAGCCACTGATTTGCAGATATTGTTATGGAAGCTGCGCAGAGACTTAGAATCAACGCTGAAAGCCACAACCCACTGATCGCAATTGATTGGATTGATAACACCTGTGACGAACCCATCGATGCAGGAAGAACAGGAGAAGTAAGACCAGCATTGGGAGAGTGCATGTTTGATTGCAAGGATATTAAGGTGAGAACCTGCGCAGTAGTGCTGAACGATAGTGGTTGAAGTGACGCATAGTGATAGATGTTGAAGATGGCGAGAACGATTGAAAAGAGGCCAGCCTAGCGTTGAATATCATTTGAGTAAATCAATAGTAGATGTGTCACGGAGGTGGGCGAGGAGTCGAAACGTCACTGAAACACGGGGACACTTACGAAAACTAACATACTAGAAAGATCATCTTTCCATTTCATGGTTGTGGCTTCCTCATGTTCCCACACCCGTCTAGCGCAAGTAGACCATTCGTCAAAATATGGAGAAGATAAGTGGTGGGCTCCTAGCGCTTGAGGCGGGGGTGCGAGAAACGGGGCTCCCGCACCATAGGGCGTATAATATGGGGAGCTGGGCCAACCACCAGGCAAAGGTGGATATACTGGCTGCTCAAGGTGAGAGAGGATATCAACACTGGAACGTGGTCCTCACCTGCTGAGCTCCAAAATCAATTGTTGGAGATTTAACAAACGTGAGCAGGAATCAAATGAAGAAGGCTCATGGCTCACTTGGAAAAATGGTGATGCTAGCCTGGGCTGTGGTAATGTGAGTAGAAGAAGGTACGAGGGAATAAGGACATCTTACCGGGCTATATGCCGGTGAAGACTTCAAGGTATTAGATTGGGCACAGACGGCCTGCTATTACAAGCTTACCTCTATCGGTGTTGACGCAAGACCGGATGATTCGCGCATTTCACTCTCATCTTCACCCTGATGACCGGTCCCCTTTTGCTTTGGATCCTGATTACGAAATCAATCAGAGGGCTGCCACCACTGTGTCATCGGCTTGATTACTTGTATATTCTCCCCCAACTTGAGACTACCTTGAAGTTCATGACTGCTATCACCCCGTTGTTCTGGTCCCAACACAACGACCTACCATACGTCAACCCATCGAAAGGTGTCAATGTTTGATAGTGCTTTACTTACTGGCTGGACGAAGTCGTGCGAACCTACAGAAACCGGATGAAATCCGTGTAAGTCGTCCCCCCGGGTTCCACCACGTTGAACTGTGGAGCCACCATCGCGAGCAGATACCCTATCTGCCTCAGAGACACCATCGACGTCAATGGAGGGGCCAAATTGATGGATATAAGCCTCAGCCTGATCGATTTGCGGCTGACGCGACGTCTTGTTTCTAGGGACGAATAAGAAATGTCTACATCAAGAAGAAATTATTTACTCACTGGCTGGTTGACTCTATGGCATACCCACTGGTTGGCTGCTACAAACGGGTAAGTAGCATGACCGGCTCGCATGTTCGAACACAGCACCACAGTGGAAACAGCATCAATGAATTCACGCTCCAGCTCCTTCCAAACGGCGTTGGCTAATTGGTGTTCCTCTGAGTCGCGTCCTGCACGAGGCAACGCAGATTGAAAGTTGGAAGACACTGAAGCCGACGATAAACCAGGACTGGGAGAGTCTTTGGTCGAATGAGACTGGGCTTCAACAAAATGACCACCTAAGGTGCTCGGCATTTTCGCTGGGGTTTTCGTTCAGCGGCAGTCAGAATTTGCAAGCCAGGACGAGTATATGCCGTGTTGATTCTTCAACGGCGGCACTGTGAATTAAGCCAAAGGAAAGACCCGAAGGGCTGGGCTTCCCCGCCAAGGTTTATCTGCCAAGTTATCGAGCGTCCGCGCCTTTGCAAGGCAAATATCTTGGTGCTTCGAGTGGGCCTTAGATATATCGCTGAGGAAAGGAAGAACGACTGTTGTATGGTCAGCACTCGGTCAGCCATATTGGCCACTGGCGAGTGCACGAGAATCTCGAAGACAAAGCACCATTGTCGGATGCGTGTAGTGACAGTACAGCGATCGCGGAACCAAACGTGACACAGCCATCAACTTCACATGACATCGGTTGTGCCTCGCCTGGTATTCTGATTGCAACTTTGCGACAACAGGAATGTTTCCGGCCGCTCACCAGACATGCTTGCTCTTTCCGTTTTGTGTTAATGCCGTGGCACGCAGTCTATGCCGATCAACTTAGAAAGTGCAAGCAGGGACATCCTCTGTGGTGCCCCGATGCAGGGAGAAGGACCTCGGGGATTTTGGTGGGCGATGTGGGCTATCTGAAGGAAGGTGCCTTCTATCCGCTGTTCAACGCCACTTTGGACGCGAACGACGACATCAACACTCGCGGTGTTCCAGAGCGGTACAAGAAATTCGTCGTCAAAGATGATCTGCGTAAGGAGTACGCGAAGGTCATCGATCGGGGACCACTGCATAGCACAAGTCTCAGAAAGCTTCAGTCGTAAGTCCTTTGAAAGCTCGTTTCTATTGTTCATGCGATCTTAACATGTATATGGTCGCAGGTGCGACACCACCCTCGCCTGCGGGTTTCAATGCACGGACAAGAAGGGTGCGCTGCTTGTCATCCGTACGCCTGCGATCCAAGAAGAACTGCGAGACATTGATAACATGAAACGCCATATGTCCAGCCATATCGATAGCTGGCTCGATTTCGCTAAGCGGCAGCGCCCCGAGCTGAAGATGGAGGACATCACCTTCGTATTCGGGTTCATCAAGACAACACAATGGGCGGTGGCTGCGCTTACCAAGGGGCAGAATGCGGAATTGTCGTTCACTGGGAAGTTCACGGATACTGAACCGGCGTTCTCAGTGGAGCCTCGAGGGACTGACTTCGAATACCGCACGGGTCCAGCAGGTCGAGACACCCAGCTCACGATGCCTATAGACCAGTGTGTCTTCCTGCATTACATCAAAATGGAGAGGTTAATAGGCTTCCCTCGTTGTGTGATCGTTCGGGGTGAGCGCTTGGCTGCACCATGATCTGAGGTCGAGGTGCGACATCTTCATGATACATTGTCTATTCACCCTACTAAAGGTAGAACGTAATTTTTCTAGAACAATAGAGTGCAAGAGTACCCTATGGATCCTAATACCTAACGACCCAATTCCTTCGAATTCACACCCGCTATACCTCGCCCCTCTTGCACGTTCAAGGCCGATTATCAATGTCTTGTTCTATGTAATCGATCGATCGATCTCGCATGAATGAGTATGGCCGAAGCGTTATTGTGAGTATGAAGCGGACGATCTACTAGGGCAGCACTGCAATTTTATGAAGTATTCGTTGTACTGAGGACCTGCAATCGGTTGCTTTGAAGCGAGCATAACTTGGCGCACCACTTAGCGGGCTGTCGCTGTATTGAAGTAGATCGACGAATCAGTTTTGCTATGTAAATACAACAGGGGCTTCTTTTTGGTGCCGTAGCCGCCGTCGTTTTGAGTAACGTGGCCGTCGTCAAAGGATTTATCTCTGTTTCAGACACTCTCAGTTACTGTTGTCCCAAGCTCAAGTTGATAGCAAGGACTTTCACTGACCTCCTGCGGCAGAGAGATTGTGCGCGAGAACTTACCGTACCGCCTCCAACCGCACACAGGGCAGTTGCTTTCGCTGCGGCCGTTTGAGGTCTTCGACCTACCAGTCACTCAGGTGGATTTGTGCAGTCCCCTTTCTGGGATCAAGAAGTTCAGATGTTACTGCTCCTCAAGGTCTCCGTTTCGAATACGATTGCCCTATAACGCTACCCTCGCGGACAATAAAGGGGCCGAGAAAAAATGTTACTGCCATAACTGCCACAACGTTTGTCTCCGTATCTTCGCGTAAAGATATCTTGCCCGCCATGTAAGTATACAAAATTCGAAGCCGGCCAAGGGCTGCATATACCTTGGTCTTGGAAACTTGCATTGACCACTTGGACGCTTGACCTGGTGCTCGCTATTACCTGTTCAAGTGGTCCACGCTGAGAACACCTTGTTGAATGAGAGGTCAAACTTAGCAATGGGGCTCCGTGTCATACAAGACGTTTGAGAGGGACTTTGAATCGCGGAGACGTTTGGATGAGACTCAGGTAAGACAATACCGAGTAAGCGTATGTCCAATGAATTAATTTTGTTGGGAAGAAACAGCAAAAAGGCAATACTTAGTACTTACATGCTGCTCCGTGTCAGGAGCTTTCCATCCATCGGCGTGAGCGACACGAGGAGTTTGTGAACGTTTGAACTTTCATGCGCATATTCAGTTTGTTCCGTGAATCTCCATCTCTAGGTTCCTCGAGCATAAGTAAAGTTTCTTCAGCTTGTGTGACGAAAATTATGTATAGCAAATTCACATTGGAGTGACTGTAGCTTTAGAGCTCCGGGGGCAGCACTTAGAGATTAATTAGGCAGGATTAGGATTACTGGACAAGAATATCGCACAGAGTCGAGAAGAAATAATTTCACGAGGGGGACGCTCCCCCTCGTGAGTATATTTCTTCTTGGCTCTATCGGTGGAAGATGGAGCTGGTACGGGCCACCAAGGTGGCACGATAACGATGCTTTAATTGCATTTGTTTGTACGATCTAAATACGGAACTCAACGCCCGCGTAATTCAGCGCTCACCTTGCGACGTGGCGCGCACCTGTTTTCACTCTCGGACCTTGAGATAACTAAACTTCGATTTAATACTACTCTGGAATACTTGGATGTTCCTAAATCTGAATTGACACAAACTTTAACCCACAATGACGCCCCTTCGTTAACGCTTTGCTGCTTTGCGATACAGGCTCCTGGAGCTCAAATGTGTATCCTGCAGTACTAACCGGATTCTGGATAACTCATAAAGTATAATTTTATACTTCAGCCTTCAAGCACGTCTATCTGACGCATCTTTTGGTGGTTGATATCGCCGCAACCTGCTCACGTATTGAACAAAGCGATTAGTAGCGGCGTACATCCACATCTGGGCACTTCAGCTTATGGTCCTGCGTTCTTGTTCATCACCTAGTCCGTTGGTCCCGAACTGTGAGCACCGCATGATTTCGCGTGCGCGTTACCATCCCTTTTCGCTCAGGAGCTTATTATGGCCGGTTTGTCTCAATTCTCGCTAAGCTCTGTCGAGCCTAGCTGCTCTTGAGATATGTGACTTGCTCATCGCGGCCCAATGTTTCTGTGTCCACATTTATGGATAAATCCCATTGCGCCCCTCATTCACGTACGAAGCTCCGCCCGTTCCCCTCACTCTTATCTATTCGGCTGCTATCGTGGCGTCAGTTTTCATGCATAGACGTGGGCACGAGGACAATGGCCGGGAAGCAATTGGGAATATCATGTCCTTCTCTTCGCTGGCGTGCTCTCCCCCTTGGACAAAAGTCGGTAATTAAACGCTTTCATAATTCTGCACTGCTCTCACCGTCATATCCTAGGATGAAAAATAAGATATGACTGTAGCCCTTTGCAGTTTCCCAGCTTCCGCTGCTGGAAGAGAGGCAGCTCAGAGGCGTATCGTTGGTTCTGTGAAGCATGTTCGATTGAAGGCGGCGTCACGCCGGTGAGATGATGCATGTCAGTTCTCCCTTTCTCTCCATCTCCGCCTTCGTGCCATTTCATCATGGAATGATCATGCATACCCGCTCTTTTGGTGAGTGTCTTGTGCGAAGGAAGTGCACTCCTACTCCTTATCGCAGGCATAAGTAGCCTACCGGCCAGCTTGGCGAATACGGGCTGTTCTGACACTCTACCATGATTTCGTTTCCTTTTACCCTCTCACTCGCGCTACTTGGGCTACTCTTCTGTGTGTCTGCACTGCCCGTAGTGCCGCCATCGCAGGCCCCTCTCTCTGTGCCTTCAGAAACGTTTCATCCGAAGAGGGATGCGCAAGTCCTCATTTTGGGAGGCGGCGTCGCTGGCGTTATCGCGGCCCGTACGCTGCATGAGCAGGGGGTCACCAACTTTATCATAGTCGAAGCGCGTAAAGAGCTCGGCGGACGCATGATGAGTCATGCTTTTGGAGCCCCGGATCATCAGTATATCGTGGAACTGGGGGCAAATTGGGTGCAAGGTACGAAGACTGGGAACGGTATTGAGAATCCGATTTGGGCGCTGGCCAAGAAGCATAACGTTACTACGCGGCCGAATGACTATTTCAACAACATAGGTACAGTGTTTGCTTTGTGAATCTCATGGTTTACGACTGAAGTTGGAACAGCTACATATGATGATACTGGCGCTGTCGACTTTCAAAGCGATGTTCAAGCCTCTAAAGAAGCGTTTCAAAGATTAATCGCATCGGCAGGTATGGCAGAATATATGTGCTCTAAAAAGGCGACTAAAATCACATTGTTTTCGTAGGCCGCCGGGTCCCAAAGCGACTGGTCGACATGACTGCGCGCAGCGGATACTCACTGACCGGATCCCTGCCGGAGACCCGCTACGCGAGGGCCGCTGAATATTATCAGTTTGACTGGGAGTTCGGGACCACGCCGGAGGAAACATCATGGCTGTCTTCATCTTGGGTACATGTCATGGGCTGCTCCTTGAAGGCGCTGGTATCGCCTTCACCGAAACCCACTCACCATTTATGCACAAACGTCTGTGACACTGACGTGCTTGCTAGGCTCATAACTACACCTATGATCCAGAATCGGGTGGCTTCTCATATGAGAACCTGTTTTCTATCGATCAGCGCGGGTTCAAGGCCCTCATTGAATATGAAGCACGTTCTTTCTTGACTCCAGATCAGCTTCGACTGAATTCGACCGTCCGACTGATCTCTTCGTCTCAAAACGGTGCGATGGTCACGCTGACCGATGGAACTCGGCTTTGGGCGGATTATGCTCTGTGTACGTTTAGCCTGGGCGTCCTGCAGCACAACGATGTCGTTTTCGAGCCGCAGCTTCCCATTTGGAAGCGGGAGGCGATACATAGCATGGCAATGGTGAGTCATACTCATGTCACAGCCAGCAGCGAGCAGCAATCGATTAGTTCATGGATGGGGAATAGGGTACCTACACGAAGATCTTCCTCCAATTTCCGGAGAAATTTTGGTTTGATACAGAGGTACGTCCATATAGGCGGAGAGCAGACTTGATTTCACGTACTACTATAGATGGCGCTGTATGCGGACCATGAGCGCGGTCGCTATCCAGTTTGGCAGAGCCTCGATCATCCGAGTATGTTACCTGGCTCCGGAATTCTGCTTGCAACGGTGACGGTGAGGCCTGAGTTCAGCGAACCTATTTCGGTCGCGTGTTTACTATTACTGGCAATTTTCAGGGTGATTTCTCGAAGAGGATCGAATCCTTGTCAGACTTCGCAGTCAAAGACGAGGTGCTCACTGTCCTTCGGTCCATGTTTCCGGACACATGCATCCCGGAGCCACTCGACTTCTATTTTCGGCGATGGCATACTGATCCTCTCTTTCGCGGATCATACTCGAACTGGCCTGCGTCGTTCTTGAGCGAGCATCAGGGAAATCTTCGTGCGAACGTCGACGAGCGGCTCTGGTTCGCTGGTGAGGCCACAAGCCGAAAGCATTTTGGTGAGCATCATGGTTGCGAGCCTGCTTGTACGCATCTGCTAGACTTCTTGAACAGGATTCCTTCATGGTGCCTACTCGGAAGGTCTGGAAATTGGCCGGACGCTTGCGCAATGTGTCAAGGGCGGGGGATGCCTTGGATTGGAACACATAGATCAAGTCAGGAACGCTCGACCATATGACGATGTATGACCGAACGAAACCCATTGTTGTATGTGATAATTGTAGCAATAGACACCACAACGCATATCCAAGGATGTCTGACCCACTCATTTTAGCGACAGTAACATCTTTTCGAATATGCTGAAGTATTCGAGATAGCGCGGGCCCGAGCTGGATCTGTGGGCAGAAGACAGACCTTTCAGCTGAGACTGGCCATCGACGGTGGAGCATACGGCAAGGAGTTCTCAGGCTCTAGTTGTGCCGTCACTACGTTGGAGCGGTAGCACCCACACTGAAGTCTCAATGTACTAAGTGTGTCTGTTGGACCTTCGCCGCGCACCATAGTTCCACACCAAGAACTGAGCTTCAGCCACCAAGTGTTAGTGTTGATGGTATCATGACTGGAGATATGAATATCAAAGTACTATTGAACATTTGAATCGTGGCAGACCCGACTTGGAATTGATCTTCCATGACAGCCCCTCAATTTAAGCAGAGGTGTGGTGATCAATCAAACAAGTAATTTGCTGTGATATCATACATGTAAATTGAGGACATCGCTGTTTACAGGACGCGACTGATGTAGACAATCGCATAGGATGGCCCATCAACAGACTCTGAAGATATTATCCTCATGTAGATGTTTGCGCGAAGCGAGGATCAAAGGACGATATAAAAGATCCAGTGTCGGCAACACTCAGCGACCCAATGATCTTCAGCAAGGTCTTGACCGATTCCTCAGGCGTGATCGGGGTTAGATCTACGTCGGGCATGGCCTTGCGGAAGCTCTCTAGCTGGCGCGCCAACTCAGCCTTGCTCGCATCGTCAACTAGAGGGATCATCAGCGCATGTCCTCGTCATAACAGGCAGGTACAGTAACACTTACATTCACTCACTGCAGTCCCGGAGACATCGACTATTCCCGGGCTGAGCGAAACAACAGTAAACCCTTCAGACTCTAGCTGCGCCGCGTACTTGGTAGCGACCATGTTTGTCGCCGCCTTGCTTGTCCCGTATGCAACCATCGTGTGCATACGTACGTTCCACATAAGACTACGCTCTCCGGCGCCGCTGCCGATAATGACGATCTTCTTTGTTGTGTTCTCACGGAGCAGGGGGAGAAAGGCATTGACGGAATGCACAACGCCAAGTGCATTAACTTTAAACTTCGTACCAGTAGTCAGAAACAAGTGTTACACGCGAGACGCGATATCCGCTCACAGATTCAATGAATTCCGCGTCAAGTTGATCGTCGGTTTCACTATACGCGACTTGTGAGCGATCGGAAACGAAAATGAAGCGATAGTGATGTACTAATCGTCGAATGCTTTGAATAGATTGGCGTACTCCATGCGCGCAGCGTTATGGATGAGAACGTCTAGAGCACCCCCGGACATCTTCGCGATCTCTGCAGCGGCAGTCTTCATTGCGCGGGCATCGACCACGTCCGCCTCAACAACATGCACATTCCGATTGGAGGACTCAGCGATGAGCGCAGAGAGGTATGTCGACTTCGCCTTGTTCCGTGCGGTCACGAAGACAACATTATCCGGATTCGCTGCCTATAGGCATACGGTCAGATACGTGAGGAAGCATCGTGTAGAGAAACAAAAAGGAACGCACTAGTTGTCTTACGAGCTCCAACCCGATGCCACGCGAACCGCCCACAACAGCGTAAGAAGGCATTTTTGCAGATATGGAACTGGATATTAACGTTGAGATGCTAGTCAAAATGAGAGGGTCAGATGTGATGGGTTTATATAGCAAAAGTCAAGGGCGCTCCAGGCCAGCTTGTCGACTCAGTTCGTAATGTGGCAGGATGAGACAGTGACATAGCTCTCGGAACGAGTAAGTGGGGCCTTTAACTTTGCCGGGCTAACTCGTACATCCCATGCCGTGTGCCTGCGTCAATCAGAAGTAGTACTCAGATCCGTGGCAAAATCTCGCGCCTTCACGCCTGAACGATGACAAGCGTCAGTGTAGCTTCATTGTTAATTAGAACACGCACGGCAATAAAAAATCATCCAAGTTATTTCAAGCGTTAGAGAATATCATACTGACGCAAGTAAATAAAAGACACGTTTGTAAATCATTGGATTGTGAGAGATTGTATTCGAAATAGAGGCAACAATAAAATGTAGCCACAGCCGTGCCGACATACATGGTTAGCCGAAACGCCCATATTCTTTCAACCTTGCATAGCGCGAGCTTCGGCGGAAGCGACGAAAGACCCTGAATCCGCAGGTCCCACGAGTCCGATCACCTTTAATACCGTCCTGACAGACTGCTCGGGTGTGAGCGGCTTAAGGTCGGAGTCCTGCCTGACCTTTCGGAGATTCTCTACCTGCCTCGCCATCTCAGCCTTTCCCGCCTCGTCGTCTGGTCGAAACCGAGTCACCATCAGTACATGATCCGATGATATAAGGGAATGGTGCTCACACTCTCCGGTGGCGGTCGCAGACACATCCACGAACCCAGGGCTGATCGAGACAACGACGAAGCCCTCGGGCTCAAGCTGCGCAGCATATTTGGTCGAGACCATGTTTGTCGCGGCCTTAGTCGTCCCGTACGCAACCATGGAGTTCATACGCATGTTCCATACGAAGGTGCGCTCCCCCGCGCCGCTCCCGATGACGATGATCTTCTTCGTCGTGCCTTTGCGAAGCAGCGGTAAGAAAGCGTTGACAGCATGCACTACGCCTAATACGTTGACCTTGAACTTCAAGCGACATTCAGTGACGCGGAGTACCACACTATAAGTGACTGCTTACTGATTCGATGAACTCGGTGTCCAGTTCGTCTTCGCTATCACTAGATAGAAATGTGTAAATGGTACGGAACGATCAGAGATTGTCTTCATTCACAAGTCCTCAAACCCCTTGAACATGTTGGCAGGCTCCATGCGCGCCGCATTGTTGATGAGCACATCCAAAATCCCCCCCGATATCTTCGCAGCCTCCGCAGCGGCCGCCTTCATAGCATGAGGATCAACAACGTCGGCTTGCAGAACGTGTACATTGCGGTACGGTAATTCCGATATGAGTTCTGAGAGGTGTGTGGACTTCGTCTTATCGCGCACTGTCACAAAAACGATGTTTTCTGCAGACGTCGCCTGTAGAGAGACCAAAATAGAGGTTGAGTTGTGATGCAGACACGGAAAGGGTAAGATATATACCAGTTGCCGCACGAACTCCAACCCGATACCACGCGAGCCACCAACAATAGCGTAGGAAGGCATGTCTGTAAGTAGCAGAAGGGAGGGAGCGTTTGACTGATGAGAATGATCTCCAGATGAGAGGTCAAATGTGGTCTTTTATATGGCGACGTTCATGAGGATACATAGTAGTACTCCCGACGAATCACACACAAACAGTTCATGACCGACGGACCTAGCACTCTGCATCAGGAATTTTCATCCTCAGTCTCCGATAGTTGCACAGTACTCATAGACCGTTCATCGGGAATTGGTAAAAGTTGAAGAACAACCAACTAGTGAGGACTCTTGCGATATGTAATATATGTGGACATTCGGTATGGGCAGTACTCGGCATCATAACGGCGACGGACAACTCGGGCGGCGCACCTCCGACGGGAGTAAGATACACTGACATACCGTAGAGAGTAATGGTATAGGGTAGAGCCGGAGATGCGCAAAAGACGTCAGCAAATGATAGTTGTATTGAATTTTAGACAGACCAAGAGGAGAGCGCATATAGAATGCATGATTGACATCCGGAGGTCATCAAATAGCACCTTTCAGGTTGAGGTGTCAATGATTGTGACATATACTTCTGTCATATCAGACAATATTAGCCCACATTATGGCCGCGGTTGCCGAATCTTCCAGCTCAGGAGATAGCATCTCGAACCATGATGTCCACTTACTTCGAGCAAGATCTCGGCGACATTCGCGGCGCTTTCATACATGTGTGCAGAGAGCTTTCGGCAAGCATCAGCAATGACAAACACGCCACTCACGGCATTTAACAAGGAATCGCCGAAATAGCCTGAAATGCTTGCTCAGCCATCAGGGGAATCTCGGAAACAGAATTATAAGATACTAGTGATATACCGCGCACAAAGGCCCATCTACACGAAATACGAGGACATGGCACTGGGAGGAGCCATCAGGGTAACATCTTCGTTAATATAAGTCAGCTGAAAACGCACCATCTTACGCTACTTCTGCATCCTTTGACCTCGCTCGTTCTCTTCTGCAGCATCGTAGACCGTGAAATCCCTGCCGTCGCCTTCACACGAATCATCAGGATAGAGGCCATGTTGCCACACCGATAGCAATAGTCGGGAGCGGACCAGACGGTAATCAGCAGTTCATCAAACATGTATTTATATCCTTCTGGACTAGTTAGTGGGCTTATACAACGAGTTACAGTGAATTAACATGATTGAACTGCATGGACAGTTAGATCGCATAAAGGCCATGTGAGAAACCATGAAAATAGTACTGTACCTCTTGAGTAACATTTCCGCTGAACAATCAGCCTGCACCACGAGGGCTAATGGCCCATTTCTCTATCTCATCTGAATCAGACCACATGAAGTCTTGGGCGTTATGTTAGGTCCGACCAAGGAGACGGCGATATCATGCATACCACAAAATGCGCCTTCGTGAGGAATCTCCTGAGCGCGCGAGAGTACCCGGATTTGATCCAACGTCCGAGTATCTGGCGACGGTCTGTCATGTACGCAAAACGTCTCCCCGTCGAAGATCTGTGCAACGCATGAGTCATCGCACGAGTAGACTTATAAAACATACCGCGGCAAGATTTAAATAATCAAATACGCTACAACACTCTTTCCACACGAGCGCAATGTAATATTCATGCTGACACTCATCTATATGTTCGCATTAGCTTTGTAAGATGTCAGCTAGACAGGGGACTCACCGTAGAAGCCACATACTTGCGTAATGTGTCTGCTCTCGTGGTTCCCCCGCAATAGTATCACCTTGTCGGGATATCTGCTGAAGAGATCAAGGGCTGCCTAAATTCGTAGATTTCATAGTCGGGTACTTTGCTTTCAACACAAACAGCAACGGAACGTCTCCAGGCTGTGGTGTCCTCGGTCGGCGAAGTCACTTTGCAGAATGGTTAGCAGCCTTCGCGAGGCGAACTGGGGGGAACACATACGTGCCATAAAGATGCAACTCATCTGCGGAACCTCTCCCCCTTTCGTAGCGGGTCCAGTAAATCCCAAAATCGTTCGCGTATGTCGCCACAGATAGTAACAGGACTCGAGACAGGCTGAATATTGGACTCTTCCATAAGTATTGAGCACACTTGCTCGCAGAGGGCCTCCATGTACGATTCAGCAAGATGTTGGCATTCCATAAGCTGCTCTATCCATTTGTCGGGGTCAAACGGCGGCATCGCGGGACGAGTGAAGCTTGACTTCTAGTGGAGGTCGTTGTTATGCAAGTGGACGCAAGATCGTGGGCGCCAGAACTACGAGCTTTGCGTCCTTCGCTGCAACGATCATCTTACCACCTGTGTCATCATTCCAACTTCATCCGCCATTTATTTTTCGCACATTGAGCCATGCAGCAGTTGGAAGCCGCATTGATGCCACGCTCAATGTGGCACTGGATGGGCGCTAGGCGACGCGAACATGAAATCATACGATACAGCGTGAGAGTCTCATTCTGGGGATCTCGAGGCCAATTCGCCTTCGCTCTAGCAGCTAGCTCTCTGTGAACAAGTCTCCATTTCTTCCAAACTCGTCTTTTACCATCATGGCACGCGCTTCAAAGAACAGTGCACGCCTCGTCATCATTGTGACCGGCGCAAACGCGTACGTTTTTCACTCTCTTCGCTTTCGTATAAAGACGGACGGTTTACAGAGGTGTTGGGTTCGGACTATGCCATCGTCTGCTCGTTCAGCTTTCACAGGTAAATCCTCCTGATTCACGGCCACAGCTTGCACAGTCAACGCCCTACTCCAAAGTGAACGGACACGTTTTCGCGAACAGCCCATCTCCACCTGGACTCACTCTCATCCTCGCATGCCGTGACAAGACCCGTGCAGAGAATGCCAGAGCGGCACTCTACGGACTCTTGGATACACACATTGCCCAGATACCACGGCCCTCAGAGGCTAATGCCTACGCGTCAGAATTTCGGAGGAATTTGCTACTGCAAATTCATCGTGTCGATTTGGGCAACACACAAAGTATTCTGCAGTTCGGGAGAGAGATCTCAGAAAAGTGTGTCTGGACCTATACTATCACTTCTGCCATGTTCACATCGTCTCGTGTAGATATCCATATATTTCACACCTGATCTGTAACGCTGGCGTGTCAACTTATAGCCATATCAACTACATTATATTCGCTCGACAGTGTTTCGAGTCATTACTCAAGGCTGTGCTACACCCAACGTACAACGTGCAGAAAGTCGGTGTCATCAGCGGGGACAACCTCGGTTTTGTCTGGCAGTGCAATGTCTTCGGGCACTATGTCATGGTGAGGCTCAGACACAGCGATCTTTAGCACTGACTGTGCTAATCGGAGTGCATTAGTTCCGTCAGCTCCAGCCATTACTAGCCAAGTATAAGATCGTTAGTGAATGTTCGTCCCCGGCCCGCATCCTATGGATGTCTTCCGTCGATGCACTGCCGCTATATGATCCCACCGATGACTGGCAGCTCACTAAGACCAACACTTCATATCAGGCATCCAAGTCTCAAATCGATCTCATGACAATGGCCCTCGCACAGTCGCGTAAAGTGGAGTGCAATGAGCATGAAGCTACGATAGAACATTTACTCGTGACACCGGGAATTACTCCGACAAATATTGCTGCTGAGTTGCTACAGTCATATATCCTCGAACTGTTCAGGCTGTTGTTCTTTTATATTGTGCGTCTGTTGGTGCTCCCTCTGATACGATACTAACATCGTCTTCCCAGTGCCGTTTGATTGGTTCTCCTCATATTCTGTTTTCTACATATAAGGCTGCCGTTGCTGCCTCACACGCTGTGCTCGCCCCGCTTTCCTGCCTTCCGCATTTCGTTCACGACGAAGGCGCTGTAGCATTCCCGAAGTTCAGCGCGCAGACCGATCGGTGGGGGAACGAGAGTGTCGGGATCGTGCCTGTACACCAGTGGCAGGAACATCCCGATGAAGGCAGCCATTTGATCGAGCAGTGCGAGCGATTATACCAAACGTTTTTGAAGGCCGAGATACGGGAGCATAGAGAATCATAGGCTGGGCTGTGTATCTCTTACCATTAGACGGCATTGATGTGCATGACATTTCCCATTTACAAAAACACTATTATACTGCCATTGGCTAATGTTTTCGTCCATTTCATCTATAGATAAGGCGATTCACGTAATCTCGACTAGTTCATTTTGTAGTCCATGCTACAAATACATGTTTTGTTACAACGAAAGAAAATGTAGCAACGTATCGCGAATGCAGGCTTGTAGTGTCGAACTAAGCAGCTTGTAAAAAGAGATCAAGGATGAGTGGAGGGAAGGTGGGTAGACAAAAAAAGGACTGTGCACTAAAGCACGAGCAAAAAATCATGGTCGGAGCTCATAGCGACGAATACAAGGCAACATACCGATGGGCGAGCAGGAGTCAATGTTCAGGACGAGAGCTGGTGGAGCTTCTGAGTGTAGTTGACTGGATACCTGTGTGCCCGTCGAAAGGGGTGCTTACTCAAGCGCGGGAGTGGAGCTTGCGATCGACTCAGCAGGTCGGTGTGGATGCAGCGGGTCAATACCAATGCCCGACGCGGCGGGCAGGTGTCGCTACTCGACGTGGCGAGTAGGTGTCTCTATCTGCAACAGTAGACAGGTATAAACACGGCGCCCGGGCACATCGGGCCCGCGTTCATGCTGGTTGGTCTTGTGAAACAACTATCGTTCCTAAACCTCATAAGTCTTCTTCTGAGGCTGATGACGACTCCGTGATGATTTGCGATTTCTTTCTCTACAGGTTGCCGCACTAGGTCTGGATGAGTGCAGATCACTAAGTCGAGAGACTGCCCTGTATCTCTAGAAAGGATATGAGCATCTCAATGATGTCTTGAATAAGGTACTCACATCGATTCTACCTACACCATCACTGTACCAGACGGTATAACGTTTCTCTGTGTCGCCAATATGTCCTGGAGCCAGTGGAGGGCGAACTGAGGCCGCTGAATGTTAATCTCGGGCCTTTCCGGCCCTTGTTCGGCCATCGATTCCAGCTCCGACCAACGCAATGACATCTACCGCTGACTTTGGCTGAGGACACCATGGGGCTCTTCATAGTTCGCTGCGTTCCCAGACTGGCTTTCGATTTATGGAGAATACGCAACTACGTATCGATTTTTTCTTAGGCTAGGCTCTTATAATTCTTTTTTTTTGTCCTGGAAATCTATGCGAGTCTTCAAGCTTCAAGTTTGAAGTTTGCAGGGGCTTCATGTGCACGTATCCCGCTGCACCCCGTTTCCGGGAGCTCTTGTGACGATATCATTTATCGCGTGAACAGGTTTGCCGTTTGCCGTGTATACCAGCTGCCGTGCCGGTGCAAACACGCAAGAAGCTCCATGCAGCCTACACACTACGGGATTCAGCTTGGGTGAGTTTCTCTTTGGTTTTGCGGAATGGAAAACAACTATGTTTCAACTTCGCTGAGCAGCCCTTGCCTACTGTAAGAACTTGGCCATGATGTTTGGACGAGTTAGCCGTGTTTTAGGGCAAGACTCGCTTTAGTCCCTCTTGTTCACTGAACTACGGCACGGAGGGATTGAGCTACCGATAAGATGCCGGGTAGCTACGTCAGCTCTGGCACCGGCCAGTTTGCAAAGCAGATAGTTTCTGTGGTACTGTGGGGGCGGTGGTATATAAAGCGCGACCCACAGATCAATTGAAGGCATCGTTTGCCTGAGGCCTCTTTGAAAACTAGCCGTCTCTCAAAAATGCCTTCCTACGCCGTTATCGGGGCTTCTCGCGGAATTGGTTTGGAGATAGTTCGCCAACTGGTAAGCTACATGCTGAAATTTTGCATCTATTTGTGCTGAATCAAGTGTTCCTCCAGGCAACAGATTCCGCCAACACCATCTTCGCGGTCGTTCGAGACAAGGCGAATTCGCCTTATATTGCCACTGTGGCTTCCTTTCCGAATGTGCATATCTTGCAAGCCGACGTGGTTGACCACGCTGCACTAAAGGTAGTTTATATTAATGGTTAAAACCAATATCATGAATCTGATCAGCCTGTAGGTTGCTGCGGTGGAGGCTGCTTCCATCACAGGCGGAACCTTGGATGTTTTGATCCACAGCGCTGCCTATATGGATGTTACTTTCATGTCCCGTGGCTTGACCGATTAGTTTGTCTCAAACGTCTCTCAACCCAGCGGGTTTTTAATGTTTCTCAATGTAATTCTACAGTGAAAGCGATGAGCAACTCGATGCAGAACTCACGAAAGCTGTAAGTCCTTGTTCCCTCTTTGCATATCTGTCATCTTAATCCAACTATTGAATGAAGTTCCAAATTAATGCCCTCGGCGCCGTTCATTCCATCAATGCCTTCCTCCCATTGCTTCGCAAGGGAACCGTCAAGAAGATCATGGTACTCAGCAGCGAAGCTGGTAACCGTGATATGACGTGGCAGATGCGCTTTTCCGGTATGGCTGCGTACGGGCTGTCCAAAGCGGCCCTCGATATGGTGATGACGAAATATGCCGCTCAGCTGGAGCGGGACGGATTCACTGTCTTCGCACTCAGCCCTGGGCCGACTGACACAGGGTCTACGTCCAACCTTGTAGGTGAGTGATGTTTTCTCAGCCATGTTCAATTGCCGCAGTGATTGATCGCTGTTAATAGTCAACGAGCTTAATACTCCTGAGATGCAAGAGCTCATGAAGCGATGGGAAGACTCAGTCGCCAATCTAGATACTTCAATGATGCCGGTAGATCAGACGGTCAAAAGGGTGCTCATACTCCTCGCCAAGTTAGGCCCAGCAGATTCGGCCAGCTTCCGTCTCTCGGAAGAAGTTCGTGCGATTCAAGTTTAGGCTAATAGTTTGTGCGTGTCAGTTCAATTCAAATGTGGATGGTCGTAACCATGACCATAGGTTGGATGTTTAGTATGGTGGTCGGTTCTGGTCTCGTGCCCAGACGTGTCTTCGACACGTCTGGGGTAGCCTCGCAGAGACCCCCCCTTCCAGAGGCGCCCGCTGAGCGCCCAATGTAACGGTCACACTGGCCTTCTCGGCCCGTTGTAGTTCTAGAAAAATGAGATTGAATCACCCGATTGCACTCCATTTTGGATAGCTACGCCTTGAGTGCGTCGCCGCGAGTAGTCAAAAACACGAATGAAA